GGACTGTGGACTGTGGACTGTGGACTGTGGACTGTGGACTGTGGACTGTGGACTGTGGACTGTGGACTGTGGACTGTGGACTGTGGACTGTGGGGGTGGCTATACGAGAAGCCATAAAAAGCCAATTCTGCCCCTTTTCCTGGTTGTATCCGTGATTTCCAACTATACAGCTAGTGCTGTAGTGACAGCCCTACCACTCGGCAGTAGTCTGGGGGGGGATCATGAACTCCAACACCTGCCAGGATGTTGTGGCTTAACACTTGGTTCTCTCTGCCAAGAAACTGAAGCTTAGACGAAAATGGACATTCTGGTGTTTCTATCCGAAACGTACATACACAAAACAACTAAGAATAACTATGCCTGAAAGGGAAAGTCAATGTCTCCTTCGGGTTTGGCAGAATCTCGTAACGCATTGTAGGATGCGTCTTGTCAGTGTAATCTACAATTTACAAAATTCAAGCAACAGGTGTGGCCCTCATGTTTTCTGGACTAATTATAAGAAATATAGCTTTGCTCTGTGCAATGCTATTAAGATTACAGTAACTTAATTTTCATCAAGCAAAATTATCCAGTCCTTAAAGCTTTGTTTTACTTTCTCAATTCATCAAGGGTAGGTATAAATCTGGAGGTTACAGTATACTTGAGTTTTCTTGTGCTCAGCTGGTAGCACTGAACACGGGGGAAAGGTTGAGTGTATCCTTTGTAAATGCAGCCTTGGTGATTAAAGATGATGGCTGGATTGCAGAAATGATCTTTTGTGTCAGACTATGAAACCCTAAAGTTTGTTTTCACAGTACTGAGGAAGATAGTCCAGAAGCTGAGCTCCATTGTTTTCAGTCAAGGTATTTTTTTTTTTCAGCTTCTGAGCAGGGAAGCTTTTTTTCCCAATGGTTCGAGTGGGAGTCCGTCTGTATGTGTTGGCTGTAAAGGAATCGGTAAAGGTGAATTCTAGGCTGAGAAGCAGAAAGGAAACATTTTGCATGTAGTTTCCTTGGGGGTGTGGTTAAATTTAGTGTGGAATGGACCTTTATTTTAATAACACATGAAACAAATTAAATTGCAGTTTAGAAAGCAAGGGGTGTTTGAGAGCATATAATTATAACAGAATGTAATGGTAACATTCTCTTCAGTTTGTACCAGCTCTTTAAAAGAATTAAACTTTGGAGTTGATTTTAATTAAGAGCCTGTGTTGTGCTGCTGTTTATTTTGGATTTTGATCTTAATGTTGTATAAAGAAGTTTTGTTTTCCTAGAAAAAGAACTTTCTTTTTCAGGGTGCTTTGTAGTTTAAATGTGCAGTGGGTATTTTGGTCTTTGTTTTAATGGTTTAATTTTTCATCTCTGGATGTTCTCTTCACATATGCCAAAAATCCAGCCCTTTAAGGTTTTGAATTTAAGAGATTTGTTACTTATGCAAAATACAGAAATTGCCAACAGATGTAATGGAGTCTCTCACAGAAGCAGTTTATTTCAAGATAAATATTTTGTTCCGTCTGCAGTGTTGCCCCCAGTGCAGAGGTAAGGCAGGGATCAGCTGACACCAGGCAGCAGGACTTGGATGAACTTGCCTGTGCTAGGTAGGTTAATGACTGCTTATATAGCGTTTTTTGTATTTTTACACGTTTTCTTCATGCTTGCTATAGAACTTGAGCCTTGATTGTTATTTTAAAAAATAGGAACATTACAGAAACGTGCGAAGGGGGATACTAAGTTTCCTTAATAATGTCTGTTTTGGCAGGCTGTTGCAGTTTTTGAACCCCGATCCTCTGAACTCAGGAAGTGAATCGGAGGACCCTGTGGTAAGGGCACAACTGGGGAAGCCTCGTCTTTGTTCTGTAATTGAAAATCAACATACAGGTTGCAGCTTGATGTTCTGTGTTACAGCTCAAAGTCTTGTTGCCTTTAGTGCTTTAGATTTTCTATGCACAGAAATTCTTACGTCCTTCCAAAATTTAATGTTTAGCTGTAAATACTGGTTACGGAAGGAATTGTGTGGGGGTTTTTTCCCTCCCCAGAGCCTCCATTGCGATCCCAGCGAGAGTGGAGTGCTGGTGCATTCGCCCCTGCCCATCAGCCCCTGCAGAAGTCTGGCGAAGGCGCTCTTGACTCCCGGCCTGAGAGAGGTGGGGTGCGGACACGGCTCTGAATTGCCCATGTGCCTGCAAAGCCATGGTTCAGAAATGTTTTAATGGACATGTTGGAGTATTCTAGAAAAAGCTACTTGTTCCTACTTCGCTGAACATTTCCTGTGGTTCTTAAAGGTGGGGAACACGTAACAGGTTGTTGATCAATTAAGAGAACTTTGCCCCTTGAATGGAGCCGTTTTGTTTCGGGTGATTTTACGGGATACTTAATCTGCAAATGCTCACTATTTGTAACGTCTCATCTATTGGCGGTTTTGGTTTTTCTGTATAAAATCTTTTGGAATGAGGCATGTTAAACCTGATTGTTTTTTTTAACGTGCCTTACTTTCAGGCTCTTGCGAGGCTGAAATACCCAGGCCCAGACGTGGCGGCGATGTACTGCTGGCCGGCTGTGGCGCAGGGGGGCGACACTCTGCTCGTATCCCGCGGTTGGAAGGACCCTCTCGTCTATATTCCTCCTTTACTCACCTTCATGCAGCTGTGCACCGTGCACATGGCACCAACAACGAGCAATGGGGTAATGTCATGCACTGCTGAGCAGTTCAATACCCTGTTCAAATACGCAGGTTTAATTGTCTGAGGGTTATCTAGATGTGCCAACATGTGGCTGTTGAATCCTTCTGCAAAATTCTTCTGGGGACAAAGATTTCCAAGGGGTTTCCCTCCCTAGGGTCAGCCTCCCAAGGGTGGTTAATGTCCACCCTCCTGTGCAGAAGGTTTAGAGGAAGGATTTTCTGCTCATCTCTCTCAGCTCTTTGATGACAACATGAAGCGTTTTCATGGATGGGTGACCTGAACGCTCCACACAGAGAGCAGAGTGATGAAAACCAGTTCAGAGATGGGGATAATTAGGAGGCCATAATTGGTAAAGACCAATGGCAAATCTGGCCAGGGTCACACCCCTACTCTTTTCAAGAAACGCCCTGGGATTTTTAATCGGTTTTACATCTCACCCGAAGGACGGCACCTTTTTTTTTATAGTCTAGTGTCCCAGTCACCATACTGTGGCATTAGGACCCACACAGACTGCAGAGTGAGCGCCCCCTACTGGCCACATTAACACCTTTTCCAGCAGCAACCTTGGCTTTCCCAGGAGTCGCCCATCCAGGTACTGGCCAGGCTCACCCCTGCAGAGCTTCAGTGGGCTGCCAGTGGTGAGCTGCAGGGTGAGATAGCTGCTGGAACACGTGCAGTGGCTCTGTCAGTGTTTAATCCTTCACGCTCAACATACTGTGTTCCTTATGTTGCAGCCCATAGCGGTGGTTCTGTGCCCGGGATGGGAAAGGGCACAGCTTGTGTTTGACACGCTGGAGGAGTGCAGTGTGCGCCAGCCCTGGAATCCCATGCTGATCCTTGTGGGACTTCAGAAAGAAGAGGCAAAAGCTGTCAGGATTAAAAAAGCATGTAAGACTTCCTTGATTGTTGCCTTTTTGGGCATTTTAGCCTGTAAATGTTTACCTTGCTTAGGTGTCATTGCGACAAATTGGATGTGACTAGCCATCGTCTCTGTTGTGCTGGGTTCTTCATTATATTGTCAGACCTCTCCAGCTTTGCCCTTTCAGTTGAATTAAGAGTGGAATGACCTTGCACCCTTCTGGGTTTGTTCAAAGAGGTTCTCCTCCTCTTGAAGCGTGCTCCTCTGCTTCTCATGATGCTGTTAATTCCTCGGTGCAGGCCTGATCGTGGTCACCACGCCCTTCGGCCTCCTCAGACTGATGGAGTTCCACTGCTTCAAGTTCCTCCGGCTGTGCCACCTCGTCCTGGATGAGGTTGACGTGCTCTTCTCTCGAGCCCCAGAAGAGGCGAGTGCCCCCTGTGCCCCCTGCTCTGAATTGAGTCACGTCCCTTACTGGGACTTTTCACTCCCAGTTCACTCTTGAGCGTTTTTGTGAGCGAAAGCAGAGCTGCAGTGTTTGCAGGGAGGGTGCTCTCATGTCCACGCAAGCCATGTGCTTGAATTATGTTCACCTACTGCACCTACTCTGAACTTCTGTGAGTTGCCAAAAACGTGTCGGCTCACGGAGAGCTTTCCAAAAAAAATGGTTACTTAGTTTTGTGCAAAAGTTTGGGCAACCCTGGCCAAATTACGTTTTGTTGATTTTCTAAGTGAAAAGAAGTTAACAACCTCTGCAGCGAACAAACTCAGGCTTACAGAGCAGATTGGTTCTAAAACTAAAAACCAAGTATCCAGCTTTTGTTTCAAATGCATATTTCTTCGTTTCCTGCCATGGCCTGGCGTCCCGTCCAGGGAGTATCCTGCTTTGCGCCTGTTGCTTGGCGGGATGGGCTCCGGCCTCCCCCATGACTCCGAATTGGAAGAAGCGGTTAGAAAACAGGTGCATTTCCTCATTTCAGCCCCTCTCCTATAAGCATAACTAAAGTGGTGGGCATATTTTTCGTTTTGCAGATGTCCGCAGTCCTGCAGCATTTCAAAAAGATCTTGGCATACAAAGAGTGGGGCGTGGTTCCCCACCAGCTCATCGCTGTTGGAGGCCAGTGGAGCAGGCAGATGGAGAGCCTGGTGAGAGAGCACATGAGCAACCCCTCCATTATCCTTACAGCAAGGGAGGAGGCTGCCCTGTATGGGAATGTGCAGCAGGTGAGTGCTGTAGGAATGGGATTGCAGTGCCTTTGCAGTTAAACAGGGCTGGCAAGCCAGCTGTTTGTCGTCGCTGCTGGTTGACAAGCCACTTTCCTTCACTGTCCCATAGTGTTGAAAACAAGCACTTGGCACAGATTCGTGGAGCTTTAGAGAAAGTTGTTTTCAACCTGTATCATGTGTGGAATGGATTAAAATGTGGTGCAGTTGAATCTTTTTTGTTTTGTGTACAGAATGGTTCATTTAAGGTTGCTTTATTTTTTTCTCGCTTTTCAACCTAGACTTGAAGGCCAGCTTTCTGTTGGACTTTATACAGTACATATCCACTCGTGGAAATGTTTCGATGCACTGACAAATTGTCATTGTGATGCAGCAGAATTTCTCTCATGCTTATGGAAAGTGATGTTGTCTGAAACAGGTGATCCTGCTCTGTCTGGACTGTTATAAGCTCAGTGTGATGCTCAGCACCTTGGACTTTGTTCCTGATGTTCCTCAAAAGATCTTAATCTTTGCTGACTCCGTTGAAGATGTGGAACATGTGTATAAGGTAAAATGCCTGAGGTTATTAAAAAGAATGCGTTTAGGAAGTAACGCAGTTTATTCTACAGAGTTCTTAATATTTTGGCTCAGTTACTCAGAGAATGTCAAGGACTTGTGGCTTAAAATGAAAGTTTATAGTCCTGATTTTGACAGTGGGTATTAAAATGATCAGCATTTCATTTCCTCTCTCGATCTACTGTCATGTGCCACTTTGTTGCTTGGGTTCGCTGCTGCCACTACACCCGCGGTGTTGACATCATGATCTCGATGGATGCATTTCTCAGGTTAGAAGATCCTGATGTGACAAAAGTGTCAGATGTGTTGGTTTGCAAGCTGCCTGTTCCTGCCTCTGTGTTTGAAATGAGCTAGACAGTGTCCTGCAGCAAGTGTCCCATCAGTCATGGGCACTGGATGATCTGTCCAGGCTGTGTGCTGGAGCATAGTGTTTGTGTGACTTCAAAACTGGGGCCCTTCCAATTTCTTTTGTGCTGTTTGGCCTTCATTAGGAGATTCCTCCATTGCACTACAAGGAATCCAATCATAACCTTGTGTGTGATAACTTTTTTAAAAAATAAATCCCTGTGTGTTTGCCATTTCAGCATTCCCGTCTTCTTTTGGCAGGCAGGCAATCCAGCATCCATGGGAACGTTCCATCTTCCCATGATGCTTACGCAGATACAGAAGAAATGTTTGGGAAGAAACATTGATGTCTTAAAAACCTTGTCAGAGATCTTGACCATGAAAGGGGATGTAGGATTTGCCTACTTGGCAGGCTCCTTAAGGAGTAATGAAACCCTGGCCAAGGTTTTACATTAATAAACGAAGTCATGTGTACATGGATATTTTTGTGGATATCCCCTCAAAAATAAGGATTCTTTTTCCTGTCCCACTGCGGGTCAGGAATCCCCAGTTCTGCTCCTGGAGAGCTGGTGCTTCTGTGGGTTTTCAAGGTTACTTTAAAGCAGCAGTGCCTGACAAGCTGGGGGCAACTGTTTTCACAGGTCCAGTTATTCCAAAGAGCTGACTCGAGTCATGAGCTCAGCTGGACTGAAAACCTGTGGCTACACCAGCACTCCAGGGTGGGGGATCCAAGCTGTCGGCCTAAAGACCTGAATTTCTTCAAGATTTGATTTGACTGCAAATCGAGAACCTTTTTTTTCTGGAATGATAAACAGAATTTGCCAGTTAGCTTGGGCATTTTGCTTTTATTCTCAGGCCGTGTGTAGAACGTCTGCATTCTGCATGAAAGCTCACCAGGGCCTGACGTACGAGTTTAACTTTGTCATTGAGCAGTGGAGGAAGGACATCTCTCCAGGGACAAGTGTTGCTCTGGGTGAATATAGGCTTCTCTGCAGTTCTAATATAAATGTTCTAAAAATTAAAGCATCTCGTTTATTTTATACTCCTAAAGTAGCTGCAAAATTCTGCATGCATTCTTCTCTAGGACCTTTATATATAGCTTGTTTAGACCCGCTTATCTTGAACTATTTTTCATACGCTTGCTGTAGAGGAACTTAGTTTGTATCATACCTTAATTATTGTTGTGTTTAATGGCTGTGTGCTTTCTGATTTTTGTCTTTTAGTTTTGACCAATGAGTGCATAAACGCCCTGGGGATTACAGATGCCACCTGTGTGGTGCACTATGGGTTTCCCAGGTGTTCAAAGCTGTTTGGAAGTCGGCTGCATTGTATGTCAGATCACTTTCAGAACCTAGCTGAAATGGTATGAGTGGTTTTTTTGTTACCTTTTCAGCGCGATTATTTTTAGCTAGGGGCATTTTTTTCATTGTTTCTTAGTATCTTCTTTGTTTTTTTCCTTCTGCCCCGCAGAACCAGTTCAAAGCCAGCTCCTAGGTCTCTGACCCTTTCCCAGTGTTGACCGTGTCAGGATCAAGGTTGTTGACTGAAAGGCTCTGTGCTGCTGTGTTTGATGGGTTTTCTTTCTGTTTGAAAGGACGCGGTGGAGCAGCAGGCCCAGAAGACCAAGTCTGTCCTGCTGCTCTCGGAAAGGAACACCGGGCATGTGGTGGGAGTCCTGCGGTATTTTGAGCGTGCTGGGGCAGTAGTGCCACCGGAGCTCATCCACTTTGCCGAGGGGGTGTTGAAGGCAAGAGAGGACCAGAAATCTAGAAGACCACTCTGCAGCTCTTTGAAATGCTTTGGTTTTTGCAGGTTGGAACCTTATTGTTTTCATCTTGTTCGTGTTCACGCTTTTTTTTTTACTTCTGTCCATTTCTCAATTTAAGAGGATAGACAGGATAGAGCACTGAAATGTTTATTTTTTCCCCTTTTTTTATAAAAAGCAAAACTTAACTGCATGCGTTTCATTCAAGAAATGAAAGGACTTGTCCAGACCGTCACACCTTTAACCCGGACTTGGATGCCCTGCAGATCCCAGACTCCGGATGTATAACGGTGAGCTTTTTTTAGGATTGGTAGACTTGTACAAGAGTTATTCCAAGATGCCCTTTTCTGGATGTCATGTTAACCGGTTAAACTTACAGAGACTGGCAAGTGTCATTCAATTGGCCACACATGGAGAAGTGTAACAGCAGAATCTTGGAGGAAGTGGCAAAATGAACAAGTCTGTGCAAGTACTCAAGGACCCACGCACTGTAAACCAAGACAAAAACTGGCTGCTCTACACACACTGTTAGGTTTCTTGCTATTAGGAGACTTAAGAAATAATAATGCAATACATGTATTAATGAAAACTTTGATAAATTACTTCTAGTCTTTGTGCTCAGGTGAAGACACTCACATATTGCCTTTATCTTGCAGAAATTGCAATACAAAAGAATACTTTCTCTATTTTTGATTAACTGATCTGTATTACCATTAAGCATCATGCTTTGTTCGTTCTGCTAATAAACCGAAAAGCACAGTTCAGTGTGTAAAAGGGAGTTAAACTCTGCTGCTGAAACTGTCACTGGTGACACATTAAAACTGTTAATACTGCATAAAGTCTGCTGCAGCAGTTCATGCATTTGTCTTCGAAGTGTTTTGAGAAGGCATTTAGATTGCATCAGTTTAATAACCAACAATCTGAAATGTGCCAACATGATTATATAGCACAACGCATGGACACGAGCAAATGCTGTTACCAGGGCAGCTCATCTATATTTTGTATACTGTATAGTGCACAAGTACAGTATTTTCAATAGTACAAAATTAGGATGGTACACATACATTAGCAGTATAATAGTGGTATGAGCAATAATAGATTGATTGAACCCAAAGTGCCCATACTGTCCCAAACTCAACTGAAGGCATGAGTTTTGTACAGTGGAGGAAGATGGCAGGACCAGCTGGAAAGGTGATAGGTACCTCCAGACAAGGCTTGTCGGCATGTGTATAGGGATCAATAATCTGGACATTCGGGAGAATTGAGAAAGCAGTAAGTGAGAATCGGTTTTATATTTTTTTGGTTAAACCAGTTGAGGTTGGGTAGTCGTGGGAGACCGGGGATGGGAAGGTTAATTTTAGATCCATTTGTGAGTGTGACATGAGTTTTCATAGGAGTGATGGCCTTCTAATATAAATTGTAAAGAAGAGTTTATTTCACTCGGAGAATCTGTTGCTACTGCTGCAGTGCTGAAGCACTCATTTCATTACACCCTGATAAAGACGAGTCTTGTACTTGTTTTTTAGGGTTGCCGGTTATTATTGCAGCACCAGTCAGTAAGAGATGACTCTGCGAATGTCAGTGTTGAATACTTCAGGTGTGTTCTTCATATCTTTCAGATTCTGCCCTTGCATGTAGAGAGTGCTTCCTGCTTCTTTGGTCGGATAGTGCGCAAGAAGGACGATTGCTACGAGAGACTGGCAGCAGAGATGGCAGAGTACTATGTGAACCATAAGCGCAGTGCAGTGAATGTGGAAAAGGGTGGGCTCTATGGAGTGCAAGAGGAGACTGTCTTACACAGGTAACAAACGCCTCATGCAGTTGAAGTGTAATGTGGGTTCGATATCTGAATTTGCCCCAAATCTTCAGTTTCAGCTGCTTGAGTAGGGAGCTGCGTCGGCATGCGTAGGCCACAAAGGAACAGGTAAAGGTTTATTCTGTGTTGGAAGGTTAAAAAAAAAGTGACATGTTGGTTTTGGCCTGGAATGAACCTTAACCCGTTCAGTTTTGGAAGCCCTCAGTTAATGTGTTCTGGGTTTTTGTAAGTGGCAGGAGTAAAGAAGAGGACTGTGGGTCCGGTATCAGTCGGGCAGGGGTTCGAGTCTACAGTGCAACAGTTGTAGTGACCTTGAGTGAGATGGCTCTTCCTGATTGGTCACTCAGCTGCCCATGTGCCTCTCACTAAGGGTTATTTTGCAATGGAGCAAATGCATGCTGTAGAAGCTGTGATGTCTCTAGCCCTCTGAGCCTCTAAGCTTAACCCTCTTTTGCGCTTCTGGTCCGTTTTAAAGGGTACAGGTGCTGTCCTTGCCCGAGAAGGTGGGCTGCCTCTTCTACAGGGTTTGTGTGAGGTTCATAGACGAGGGCAGGACGGAGGAGGTGAAAGCCCATCAGCTGCTGGTGCTGCCCAGCCAGTTTCACAGTCTGCCCCCCCAGGCAGTGGAGTTCATCTTGTGCCGTGTGAAGCCCATAGACAGTGAAACGGAGTGGCACCCAAAGGTAAGACCTTCTGAAAGCAGGTTTTCATGAGAAGCCTGTTCTCGGGTAGTTCATATTCTTTGCTAGTCAGACTAGTTGGCCTTTTAATTTGTACAGAAAAGACATTCTTGTGCAGAACCTTATTGAATGTGCCTTTGCGTCTAGGTGACGAGACGCATCAGTCAGAAGATTAAACGTGTTCAACATGAAGCTAAAGTTGCTCTGTGTCTGGAAAAAACAGTATGGGTTGATCCGGTGGTAAGTATTAATTTTATTTGCATTCTTATGTCGAAAGCAGTCTGAAGTCTTGTATTCTTGCAGCTGCAAGGTTGAGCTTGGTTCATGTCTACCTCCACAGTTGACAGTAAAACCCTTCTGCCTGTGATGGGCAGGCAAGTACAAAGGATTAGGTGGCAACAGCTTTCTTGGCTTTCATTTGGTTGGAAGTATCAAGGCTGTTGTAAATCTTCATGACAATGACTGATTCTTTTGCGGGTGAACAGTTGCAGAATTAGTCATGTTTCTCCCCTGCTCTTTCAAAGGTCCATGTTACTTGGCTTCCTGCATTGAAGATGCATGTAAATGACTACAGCCTTCGCTCGGAAATTCTAGCTACTGGAATGGGGGTGGACAACCCGGAGCACCTGGAGAGGTTGAAACGGATGTGCCAAGACCGAGGCTTGTCCGGCCAGGAGCAGCCGGGTCAGCCCATGCAGTGAGTGACGGGGGAGGGTCTGCTTTTCCGAACTTCCTGAGCCAGTCTTGCCACGCCCCCCCCTCGAGCTTCCTCATTGGTCAGCTGCTGGTGAAGCGTGCAGTGGGCAGCCAGTCCAGCCTTGAGTTTTACCAAGTCTGACAAATGAGGGCTGCTTAGCCGGCGGAATCCTAACAGGAGGCTGCACCCCTTGTCTGCTTTGTGTTGGTCAGGCTGCAGTCCGCTCCGCAGGTCCTGGAGGAAGGGGTCGCCGAGGGGTCACCCGACATCCCTGAGCCCTGCTCTCAGGAGGGGCTGGAAGGCCCAGGGGAGGGGTACGTGTTACTTCCTCCCAAAACGCTCATCTTCCAAGAGCACGGACTGGGCAGTCCAGCTCATGTTTCTTCTGCTGTGTGTGTCTAAAATAGCTTTCCCACAGTCCTCTATTGGGTGTAGATGTTTGTTGTGTAAAAGGGACCCACAAACTTCAGGGGGTGGCCGTGGGTTCCTGAGGAAGCCTGCGGAAAGGTGCCAGTGCAGAAATAATGTGGATACATCACTCACAATGGAAGTGATGCAGATTCTCCCCCCCCATTAAGCTTATCAGCACCACCTGTGGTGCAGAAACAAAATGCAAAACTGTCAGGCAGAATTCCCCATTGTTTCTAAAACAGCTCGTGCAAAAACAGTTTACAATTACTGTGAAATGTCTTGAACAGTTCCTAACAGACGTTTTGTACACGCTTCACGTCTGATTGCTGATGAACAGCCTCTCTTCTTTTATCAGCAACATATGAAACTGCGTTTTAAAGACAGAGCTTCTTTAATCAGATGCTTGTCACTGACTGAATTGGGCCGCCGCAAAACAGCTGCTGAGCTGAAATAACACAGCTTCTGTATTGCCCTCTTTTCCTCGGTTTTTTTGCCATCCCAATGTCTGAATTCACTCCAGCTGAGTCCTCTGCTCCTCAATTAAACCCTCAGTTGAACTGAGTAATTTGTTTAATGCTTGTTGATCGTTCTTTATGATAAACATTGCAGATTCCGATTCTAAAATGTGATTTGAAATCTCTAGGTGGTTGTAGCTGAAAGAATAAGAGCTTCTCCACATTCAGTTCCACTGCGCAGCGCGGGTGCTCGCAGGGGTGGGTGGTGGGTTTGCTGCCAGTTGTGGTTTCATCCTGACCGTTGTCTTGGAAACCTGACTGGATAGTTCACAGTAAATAGCAGAAAGGAAAGATAAGGCGAGTGCGATCTTCTAACCTTGCTGTGGATCTCTCGGCAGTGTGCATCTACAAAGAGGCAACTCTGTCCGGGCTCTCCAGGATCTCCGTGTGGAGGATGGTAAAGCAGTTTGGACTTGGACCCAGGGGTTAACCTGGGAACAGAAATGACGCAATCTAATATTGTCATGTTAAAACTCACTGTTTTTTTTTTACTTTGTTTATAAATCACTCCCAGAATAAATAACATGACAGTCCTGCCAGTTGTGCTGTTATGTTAAAAGCAAATCGGTTATTGGCCAGTGTTAAGTGTAATCAATAGAAGTTGGTTTGAAATCTGTCCAAATATTGCTCCATTGATTAAGCTTATATTATTGTGCAATTTCCTCCTATTATCTTTGCAGTCTTTTTTTTACCTCTTAAAGTTTTACAAATCAACCTTTTCCCTCCTAATTTCTAAAAATATAGGTCTGCAGCAAACAGGCCATGTTCTCCAAGATGTTGCACCTAACAAACGGTATTGCAAACTTTTTTTTTGGTGTCTTGATTTGCTTTAAAAAACAATGTGCTTATTTTGGGTATGCTGTTTTGTAGGTGTGATTTTTAGTTACAGTGTGAGCATCCTATCCCTCTTACTAAATGTTTTTAGCTTGATCATTGAAGATCTCATGCCTTTGTTTTATTAATACAACTCAACCGATGTCCATGCAAGATTCTAGTCAAAACTTTACCATGACAAATCAATTGCAACAAGTGGTATAACTAAATGAATCTGTGGATACACACCACATTTCTGTCTAAAATGAAAAAGCTTTGTTTTTTCCAAAAGCTGCATGCAAATGAAAAAAGCTGTATACATCGGTAACCTTAGATTCAGTTTTTTAACTGTTGCCAATTGTTTAACTTTTCATTTTTTTCTAGACTTCATCCAGAAATTAAATGGTTTCAGAGAGAAGACTCTGTTACATTAAAGTTTAAGCTCCTAAATCCAAGAGCACAGCAGTATACATTTCATCATGACAAAGTGACATACAGGTACATTTACAATTGCTTGTTGTGGTCTGGTGTTTTTGCCCATCCTGCTATGAAAAACTGTGAAATGGAATTTAAGAGTTTGGCTTTCATATGTTAGGTTAGAGATGCTTTTTTTACCCAATTACATGTTGATTGTGATAAGTCATGGAGGGCTGTTATTAATTAAGCAGGTTTTAACATGAAATCTAATTTTGGGGGGAATGTCTGTTAAGATCTTTTAATGGAGTTAAAATTTGTCATACAGTTTTCGAAAGGGTTGGTTTCCTATAGAACTCACTTCCAGCATATCCAAGAGCACGAAGAACATGCTGTAACTAGACAGGAGCTCACATGTACTGGCAATATTGCGAATTGTTTCTAGTATGTGGGACAAATTTGGGTATTGAGTAGATCTCTAAATTTTTAAATCTCAAAGCTTCGTCTTTTTAAAACTCAAGGTTGGGTTTAATTTAAGGAAAAAATGTCAAAAGGCAAAACAATTTCAGTGAGTCATATTTGTAAGATCGTTCTTTGTAATTGGAGTGTCGGCACTGTACAAAATTTGCTGCCCTTTGTAAAATCGGGAGGCCACTGCTGGCATCTGGCCTTCAGCTTGCTTAGTGCGAGTAGTGCGCTTTGTGGTCAAATTAAATTATTTCTTGATTACATTTTTTAAATTCACTTTCCTTCCTGCCCTTTAAAATATCAAAGGCCACAATTGTTGCCTTTATGCATGAGAATCCAGCATTACTGAGGTTTTTTGCCTTAGAATCATAGGCCTGTAAATGATGCATTGCGTTTAATAAATTTTATATGGAAGTTTTTTTTCAATGAATTGTCACACAAAGACTTAATGTTATTTAATCTTGCATTTCTTATGAAGGGTCTAGTAACTTTTAAAAATCCTTTCCAGCGCCTGTGTCGATGAAAAATACTATTATGCAGACTTGGAACTTTATGGCAATGTTGTTGAAGACAAGTGCTCTGTAGATATCAAGTGCAACGAGCCAGTGATGACACTCCTCAAGGAAAGCAAAGGAGAATGGCCAAAGCTTCTGAAACACAAAGTAAGTTTTTTGCAGGATCTTGTAATAAAACCAGTCTTTTAATTATTTTTATTATCTTTTTTTTTTCCCCACAGATCTTTTACAGTAGCAGTCTGCAAGCCATTAGAACATGTAGCCCTACTGCTAATCAAATACTCAAATTCTGAAACCAAAGAACAAAATGATCAATTATAAAAGTACTGTGTATGCTTTAAATCTCCGGGCAGCGCCACGGCACTGTGGTTGGCATTGGTGGGTTGTAGCACTGTGTCCTGGGTTCAGTTCCAGACCTGAGGTGCTGTCTGTGTGGATTTTGTATGTTCTCCAAAGTCACACTGGTAGGTTAATTGGCTTCTGGGGAAATTGGTGCTGGTCTGAGTGCCCTACGTATTTTATATCTTCTCTTTATAGTGATGTATCTATTCCAATGCATATTTCCTGGGAATCATAATTGTAATTCCTCCAACAGAATGCTTTCGTTAGCTTGGACTTCGAACACTTCGTTGACTCTGAAGATGAAGATAATCTTGTCAGCGGTGAGGTTTTTTAGAGTATCTTTATTTCATTATTGAACAGCTGTGTATCATCACTACACATGTGTGCACTGATGTCTCTCGGTACAAGGAAACCGCAAACATGAATGCACTACATTGGGCCTGTTTTACAGAGGAACAAGATTATACGCCTAATTTTCCTGCACTCCACTTAATCATAGAAGTCAAATCTTAAAGAGCTCTTACTGGTTCAGGAGCGGAATGAATCTCCGTAGACTATTGTCTTCAGAACCTAAGTTTCCAGGTGACACTGCTGGCTTTGGATGAGGTTTCAAACCTGGGTTCTGATTTTCTTAGGCGTTAAACATCCCATGGTGCTGTTTGAAAGAGGAGGGGTGTTAACCCCAGTGTCCTGGCCGAGTTCCACTGTGAGCTTGTACAGTTGGGCCTGCCTGTGGGCCCCCTCCTAATATGGGTTTTGAGGCGGAGCCTCACTTCTCAATCTGATCTGAGTAGTGGGGCTGGTGGCGGTTTAAGGTGGCTCTCACTGGTGGCTCCTGAGTGGGGGATGAAGTGGGTCCCCTCTTGTTTGTAAAACCCTTTTGGGATCCTTTGAGATCAAGTTTAAATTGATAATCTCCTTGCCTATGCAGTGACCACCTAAGATTGACCAGGGGAGGTTGTACTGTATGTTGTGATTTATTATCAGTGTTAAATGTTGTGGAGATTTTCCAGTTTAAACAAGCTCTTGGTCTATGGTTTTGCTCCTCCCTGTTTCTAGAGTAACTTGTCAATTAATGAATGTGGAATGCGAAAAAAGCTCGGTCTGGTGACATTTCCAGGCAGTAAGCCAGGGGACTGCAAGTCTGCTGGGCATTAATTACTGTGATAGTGATGGTTTGCAATTCCTGTAGAACATTGATCAAGTCTGGGACTTCACAGAATGGTTATAAAGGCATGTACTTAGGCTCTCTGTCTGGCACCAGCAGTACCGTCTGCTGAGTCTGTTCAATAAGTGTACATTATCATATTCATTTGACATTTCTATACCCGTTGCTAGTACACTAATGCATTTATGACTTGAAATCGGAAAAAGATTGCCACCAATGGAGATTGCTATCACTAACCCTTTTTCTTGAAGGTCAGCTTAGGTGTGTTACTATTACATGAGAGGATACTTTCAGCTATATCTGATTTTTGTTTTAACTGTAGGGGAATGAGATACCTCATTCAAGGTATTTAATGTACTGTATAGTTTGAGGCAGGTTCACAGCCCTGCTCGTAGCTGCTGTTTGCTCAGTTACAGAGCTGAACCCTTAATTAACCTATTCATAGGACCCATGTGTGTTTCTTTGTTAACTTACAATCTCCCAACTTGCAAATATATATTTCTTTAGAGTCGAGTGTTGGGTCAGCTGGAACAAAAACCAGCAGGTCGTGTGGGGCCGCGGACCCCGGGAAATATCACAAGCACACGTTTGTTCTGTTTCTAGGTTGCAGTACGGAGACCAAATATTTCTCGGCGGTGCCCCTGGAGGAAGGAAGCTATGTGTACTCGGACAGCGAGAGCGACTGAGGGCCTGGGAGCTGCTGTGCTGTCTCGGGTCTGAGGGCGAGCTGCTCCCCCAGTCCACTCTTCACTCCTCTTCCCGTTATTGGACTACTTCCTGGAGGGAGTTTGCATGTTCTCAGTTTTCCTTAGGGTCTCCGGTTTCTCACTCCCACCCACGGGCGTGGTGGCCAAGGAGTCGCTGGCTGTCCTGGATCGTTCCTCTTGGTTGGTCTTCTAGGGGCTGACGTCTTGTCCAGATGGAGCGCGGTCGTGTGCTTCCAGACTGGCCAGGGTGTTGGGGGTGGATGCACACTCACCAAGTTAAAGTACTAAATTGAGTCTGTCCTAACTGTTGGGTATGGTTGGGGTAACCATGTGGCTCAGAGCAGGCTGGGGTTGCAGGCTGAGGTCCTATGGCCAGACTTGACTTGGGTTCGAACAAGTGGTGTCGCTGCTCAAGGATTCCTGAAGTGGCAGTGGCGCAGTGGGCCAGCCCTATCCTGGAGACTCTTGGCCAAGGGTAGTAGACCAACGTGCCCATGCCGCCATGGCTCTCACCGCCGACTCGTGCAGTGATGTCACTCGGTCACGCTGCTCCACACATCAGTGCTAGCTTTCCTGCCGGGTGCTGTGCAGCTTGTGATCTATCAGATGGCCAACAGGAGCACGTATATTAAATTATTAGTACAAACATGTTGACTGAAATCAAGATTTGATGGTGGCAGCTTCAGAAAATGAGATGGGCTGAAGCTCACTGTTTGACCATTGAACTTAATGTGCAGGAAAAAGACGAGATGCTGGAGATACTGTGCTATAGGTGCCGTCAGAGCGTGACGTTCTGGTGGTGATAGGCTTGAAAGGAAGCAGAATGATGGTAGTACCTACAGAAGGGTTGCAGTCTGCACAGGCGAATCTCAAGGAGGTGCTCGAAGGGATTGATTTCACTGATTTTTGAAGTCTTCTGCGCAAGGCAAGATGCATCCTGGAGGGGACCCCAGTTCATCACAGGACCAACGCATACAAAACCATGCACATCACTCACATCAGGGCCAGTTTAACCCACCAGCATGTCTTTGGACTGTGGGAGGAAACTGGAGCACCTGGAGGAGACCCATGTGAACAAAGGTGGGGGGGGGGGGAGAACATATAAACTCCACACAGACAACACCCCTGAACCCAGGGGCCATCTGCATGTCAAGGCTGCAGTGCTCACCACCGTGGAACCATGCTGCCTTGAAATGGAGTTCAAGAGCATGTTTCATATTAGGGGTGATTATTCAGACCTCAGCATTATGGTTGGCATAAAGGTGAACCTGATGGGCTTGTCCAGAAGGGGAGGGCTGACTGGCAATCTCCATTTGAATGATTGTTGGGAACATGTCTGATGAACCAGTTGCCTCTTGTTGTAAGAAGAGGCTTCTTTCTTGCAGCGCAGCCACAGTTGGCAGATGTGTGTACAGTACGTGGTGTTGAAGGGTGACTTTAACTACTGTGTATGATGAAGAAGCTAGTTTGTGTTGCAGATGTGTTTGCCCCTATACCGGCAGCATTAAAATTTCTCAGTTAGAGATGTCACAGGGGAAGTTAGAAGGGCTTTTGGTGGTCTGTCAATCCTGTCCACACTGTCCTTGCAGTCACTGTTCATCTGTAGTATTATTCATCACAAGTCAGTTGTCTGTCCTTTTCAAAACCGTTTTCAACATTAATACAGTACGCATTTTTCCCCAGCATGCAGTTCCTGCCGTACGACGGGTCGTTCTTCTCGGCCACATGGCCTGATGCCTTTCACACCACGAGAGGCCTGCGCGGCTCTGCGCGGGGCAGCCGCCAGCTGTGCTGTACAGTACAGCTGCCGACTCCACACAAGAGCAGGTCTCGCTTCTGCGGCTTACTGCAGACCCGAGAAGTCAGTGCTGGTAGAACCGGTCCTGCTGACTGAATCTGCCTTTTTGTGTGTGTAGTGGTGATGGCTGCTGTTGACCTGCATATTATATAGAGCGAGGAAGGTATGCAGTGCTTCTGCCGTTCACATATTTTCTGTGATTAATCTGCCTTTTGCATCACTGGTTGGAGTAATAGATCTTTCACTGTGCGGTGATCACCTTTTTTGCTTGTTTAACGCTGCTGTGTTCCTGCTGCAAGTATGAAAATGATATGACCATAAATCAATTAGGGCTTGTGTTGGACTACACATAATGTGAACATGGAAGAAGTAGCCAAAGCTTATGTCCTTATCTGTTAGTGGGTTTTGAAGTTCTTGGCCATCCAGTTTATATTACTCTTTTGAACATTAAACATTTTATTTCTTACAATGAATTAGTTGGAAGATAAAATACAGCCTGTGCTGCAGTGTGAAAAGTAATATTGGAATTAAATTCAGATGTTCACTGTTGCAGTTGTTGGCAACATTCTAGAGGTTAAATGTTTTGATTTTGTTCTGCCTTTTTTATGGTACATTTTTTTCAACCATTTTTCAGTTTTCATATTTCAAAAGATTTGTTATGGAAAATTGTTTACTGGAAATATTCCTAAAAATGACTGACTGATGCTTTTGGAAATGTTCGGTGTTTGATCTTGAACCATTTCCTATAACTGAAAGAGGGTCTGTTAGTTAAAGTTGGACCTGAGAAAAAACACGAGTCGTTGTTTTCTTTACTCCATTGTTTCTTAAGAAGATGACACCAACAGATTTATTCAAGATGGTACCGAAGAAAACTCAGTCTTTACTTGGGGTAGGAGCTGGTCAAACAGATCTTCTATTCAGTCAGCTGAAGGGGAGCATACCACAGAGAAAGGGTTTTCCCTAGCAATCAGGGCACATGCTTGTTTGGCTGAACTTACTTTCCCTTTTATACATTAACTGTAGGGAGATGTTAACATATCAAAGGATCACACAAGACAGGACACTCACAGAAGTGTTTCAAATACAGTGTCTGAAAAACAAAATGGGATGGAATATTCCTGTTTGGCATCTTGCAATGTCTAGTTTCACAGGTGTGAAAAATTACAGGCTCTAGCTGCAGAAAGACAGTTGAGTGCAAATAGAAAACTTCGTGTGCACAGTCTGGAACTTTCTCAAGAGCTCATCTCACTCGGTCATCCACATTGCGCCATTCCTAGTCTGCATCTTCTCAGTAGTCACTTGTTTTCATTCAGTTTTGTCAACATTTGACCCAGCATTCTCACATGTCTAGCTGTTACTTACTGCATGTACGTTGTTTAATTAACTTTACACCAGACTAAAGGGGTTATTAAATATTTCTTCACCAGTAGAGGGTGTGAAAGCACAGTAGAATAGAAACATCTTGCTTCAATATATACGGTGTAGTGTTTTTAATAAACTCTCGGCTGCATGAATGTGATTTTAGAATCAATTTGAACTGTTTTATCCTCTGGACATTTGTCAAGTTTATACTTTTTTAATATGGACACTTCACTGCTGCTTTTCTGCTAATGGTGTTTAAAGTTCTTGCAAAGGTTTCTTTCAGACGTATGAAGACTGAAGTGTGAGTTTAAGGGGAGTCAGCAAGTCTACAGCTGTACATGAATCCTGCAACCCACGCAGGTTATATATATAGTGGTTTAAAAGGTATTATACTGGACTTGCAGAATCTGATGGTTTTTGTTGCTGATCTGTGATCTGTCCCATCTTGCGCCACTCTTGGCACAGCTGGGCTGCTCAGCTGCCTGCTGGGAAGGGTCACCCTCTGTCAGAAGGAGGCATCATGGACAGACAGTCTGTAAGGGCCAGTGGGTGTAACCGTGGCAACGAGGCTGAAGCCACACTGCGCAGCCTATCCAGTTTTGTCGGTCCTCCTCTCTGGTAAAGAGTGTGCCAAAGCTGTACGTGTTTTGCATCATACTTTAAAGATGCCCTTCTCCACTGGATGCCAAAAAATTAGACCTGCTCTTTTTTTGTTTCGTTATTTCATTTCCTGATGAAGCAGAGTGCAGCAGCTGCATCAGTAGAGCCATGTGTTTAAAGGCTTGAACTTAAACTTTTCATAGTCTTCCCTAATTAGTAACCTCTTTCTGTACCGGTTTCAATTTTCCTTGTTTTTACAGTGTTTGATTACAAAAGTGTTGCCCCCATTTTTTTTAAGAATAACAGGATTTTTCTTTCCAATTTGCAACGCCAGCCTCTCTAGGGCTGTTTGATTTTGAGTCACTTACAGGCGGTCATGAAGTGGGCACAGATGAGTTCAGCGGCTCTCGAAAGACTCCAGGATGGGTCCCTCGAATACGAGGTGACCTTGGAGCATGAAGCAGGATGAGTCTGAGTTTAAAGGCTGTGTCGTTGTGTGGGATTACATAGGGACATGGCCTCGCTTCTGGGAGCAGAGGGTTCTAATGGAATATATTGATTTGGGATAAACACAGCTCTCCGTCCCCAAAAAGCATGAGGTGGATGGGTGCCAGGTTTTGAAGGCGAAAATGAGCAGCAACGTCTGATTACGTAGTGAGGGTACAAGTAAATTCTTTACATCTTGTAGGACTGTAAGTGGAGAAGGTGTCACTTTCAACTGGTTAAAAAAAAAAGTCTGACCCCAGAAATGAAATGATGTAATACTATATGAAAACGCAGAAGTGTGAAAGATTTTGAATTTGCTCATGCTGGGGACTTGGTTTTGAAGTCTTTTACATTTACAGTCCTGCCAAGCTTTTTAAGGTCTTTTAAAATGCTGAAGTAGTTTGTAGTGAATGCATTTTGGGCTTTTGCAAAAGCAATTTCTTGAATAGAGCAGCTTTCAAAAACAAAGTTCTTTTGAAACTGTTTTCCTCCTTCTAATGGTGGGTATTAATCAGGCTCTTTCACAGTTTGTTAAAAAGATGATTTAAGGGATGTCTGAACAATACATTATATTCACTGCAACAGGGCAGGACAATAAAAGGCTCATGATCACCTAATACCAAGACACTGCTGTGCAAAAGTCTTAGGACATTTTGTGGACTCATCACAGTTTTTCCTTCTTTATGCAGAAACGGTTCTATCTTAACTGCTATTAGCCATTTTGCTTTAAGATGACCCTTAATCCTAATGGATTTTGTAGTACAGGAGGTAGCCTTTTTGTTCAATGTAAATTCAGAGATACAAGTGATGATAATGATGAGGAACAGCTGACAATGTGTCAGTTAGATTTTACTGGTGAATGTGATGGGTTAGCTAGTACAACACTGGATATTGACTGCTCTTGTATGTAGAACTATATACATTCGTTTTCTCTGGGCTGTTGTGATTTAGCATTTGAAGATTCTTCTCTGTCAATTAAAGAATGCTAATGGACAAGATTGTAAGTACAGTTTAGATTGGGCCAAAAGAAAACCAAAGTGCAAAGTAGTATGCTGTAATAGTAGAAAGCACTATCTGGGACTTGTTAATGCTCGTAGCATGTGTGATGTGTGAAGGCTTTGCACAGGCAATGTGGTGGTTTGTTTGGGAGTGATTTATCCAGACTTGTGTAGAGATTGCGAGATCAAGCCTTAATACTTTGGGGAAAAAAGCAAGGATGGAATTACTAGGATATAGTGTCTAGTTGTAAGATAAAAGAATGCCATGGATTGATTTCCTGATTAAAAAAGCTGGACGAGTCTTCACATTTACACGGGTTGTGGTCATGTAACCTTGAAAATGTTTTTACATGTAGATATGAATGGATTAGTGTTTGTATTAGTATTTCTGTATTTTAGAGAAGAAGATACTACAATTACAGAGATCCTCCATTTCAGTTTCTCCGGTGACAAACATTTTGTGAAACTGCAAATCTTGTAGGATCTTCGCTAATCATTAACGGCCGTGCCGACAGAATCTAGCGAGCCACCAACAGAGGAACCATGTGGGATGAGAATCTCAGACCACAGAGTGCTTCCAGGCCTGTGGTTTACAGAGTCAGAGCTGTCTACAGCTTTGATGTGTGATCCTGAGTTTTGAATCCACCACAGGCAGCCAGCGGTGACCCTGATGCATGAAGTCACAGCATTGCACCGTGCATCTTTCACTGCCAGTGTGGTTTTGTGCACAGTCCAGACTTGCCACCTTGTAACATAAGCTTTATTCCTGAGAATGCTCTTTGCAATATCACTCTCTCTGAGGTCAAGAGGTCAAAACGGCAATACTTCCACAGCTCCATCCTTTTGTTTAGTTCCAACTTGTTTTTAAGGTCTTACACGGGACAAACACAAGACTCGTTGGTCTGTAATTACCTGGTTCATTTTGGCCATCTTTTTATGGATGGGAGCTGCAGTGGTCAGTTGCATGTCAGCGGGCATCACCTCTGTAGCGTGACTGAAGGAAGACTTTGCTAATGGGCTGCAGATAGCATCTCTCATTTCCTTCAGCACAGAACTCCTATCTGCCTCTGGATATTCAATATAATCGTAAGTGCTTCTGTTGCCTGTGACACTTCTGCCCCTTCTCCAATAGTCTCATATCCTTCTGAATTTTATTTATTTTGTTTAGTTTTGTCCATGGTAGAGATCTTAAATTTCTACTTAGTTCATAGTTGTATACCTTTTCATTGTCGGAGAACTTTCTGTTGTTATTTCTAAGACTTTTCACCCTTTCCTAGTCTTGTTGATGTAATATATGACTAAAAAAAACAATTCATTGTGGTATTTCTTTATCATGGAAATTCTACAATCCTTTTTCATGTGTGCTCGCTATTCATAGTAGTCCTTTTCTTTAACTGAATCCTGGGCTTCTAATTGTTTTAGAAAGTGACTTTTCTTGTTTTTTGGGTTTGGGCCACTGCTCTCTAGTCCTTGATTTACTTTTGGGATGAGTCATCTGTATCCACTGGAAGTTCATATCTGTCCTCATAAGGGAGGCTGTTCATGCAGATCCAGACGCTGTGTGGGTGTTCTTGCTATGTGGTGATGGAGAGGATGCCTGTATCTCTTCGCAGCACTATAAAATATTGTCACGAAACCCAGTAGGTGGTGTAAAGATCTGTCTGAGCTTCTCTGACAGGCAGTGATTGCTGCTTGTTTTAGCAAATGCTTTAGAACAACACAAATTAGGAAAAATTGGTCAGACGATAAACATTACGTTGACTTTTAAACCCTGTAAACAGAATGGCAATGTGGCTGTAGAGCAGTGGACAGAAATCTTGTTGATCTAAAACATTAATCACGCTGACCTGTGTTTGACACAGTACGTGGCACATAGTGTACACAGGTGTTGAAACATTTCTTATTAATTTGGCTGACACTTTTACCCCACAGAGCAAAGCACAGTTTTACCCATTTATGGGAGCATATGAGTGAAGTGGCTCGCTCAAGGATGTAACTACATCAGTGTCCGACCTGGCCATTGAACCCACAGCATTCCAAAGATTTTCCAGGGGAATCATTTCCAGGTTCCTCTTGGTGGTGTGAACATTTATTTGGGATTTGCTGGCTTAAGGAAGTTAAATTTGCTTCCTCTCCACACAGTTGCTGTGAATTAGTTTTATATCAAGGTTCCCAGCTCTGGTGCCAGGAAGAGGAGGTTTGGAAATGCTGAAGGACACAGATCTTTGAAAGGGAGAAACATTTTGTTGTCTGTGATCTTAACTTGCTTTCCAATTTCTGAGTTAGAGATTTTCTGTTAATGGCAAATGCCTTTTCCTGTAAATTTTCAGTTTGTTCTTATTTATAAATTACACTTGCATCTATTTTTAGGTCAAAAGAATGTATTTCAGTGCGTTGAGAACAGGCACGCTGAAGTCAGTAAAATTCTCAATCAGAGGGTAGGTTTCTTTGAGATAAATCTAATTCACTCAAGAAAAGCAAAACAATGATGCTTGTGTGGTCTAAAAACAGTTTGTTTTTTAACAAGTTTTAATTACTTCCAAACGAGCAGTATAACCAAACATACGCCTCGATGCGTCGTGGTTCTCTACAGTCTCTCCTGGGTTGCTTGTGGACCTTTTCAAGTTTTAATTGAGAAACAAAAGTGGCAACAGCAGAAACAGCCTGAGCTCCAGCAGGAGTCGTGAATCTAGAGCCTTTCCCCTTAACTAGGCCATTGCAGTGAACGGGGTTAGCCTGCTTTGTCCATTACCTTTCACCTCGAGCAGCACTTAGACGACAACTAGGGGCAAGTTTCACTTTCGCGTGTTTTACAGAGCTGACCGTTTCTGAATTGATCCGCTTGAGGGGGTGAGGTAATGGGAAGACATCTAGTCCGTCTGCCCAGTGATCTACTCCAGCACAGCTCTTGTGGTGACCTGTTAATCCACCTCTGAGCCTTTATCATTCCCTGAACTCCTTTCTGCTCATCATTACTTTCACACTATCGATCACTGTCTGCATCTGCTCAACCCCCCCCCAGCAAAAAAATCCCAAATGCTGTAGCAATTAAAACCCAGCAGCATTTTAGACCAGCCCATAATCATGGTAGGAGACAAATCGTGGAGAGGCTTCTAAATCCCAAATGAATTTTGATCATGCTTTTTATGTAATGGGTATCTTTGAGGGATTAGGAGGACTTAACATGCTTTTTTGCCTTATATAAAAACAATACGGGACAGGCGGGGATCTGTGCAGCTCCAGGCAGGCAGGTCTGGGTGATGCAGCAGTGGCATGACCCCTGCCCCCTGGCTCATGCCTGGTGCCACAGGATCAATGCGGACCGGCGCAAGGCAGCTGCTGTGGAGGAATGGAAGCAGTACAGTATGTCTTCAGCCCTGGGGAACAGACGCCGCACCCCCTGGCTGTCGTTGCCGGCATCGCCCCTGGCGTTCGTTTTACTGACGCGGCAAGAAAGCTCCGCATCTCTAACGGCAGCAAGGGAAGCTGTATCTTTTGCTTCGTCTTCATCTACCTTTCACGCTCTCGACGCCCATCTTCGAACAGGCCTCTGGATTATAGACCCGAACTATATTTTATGTAACTTCTGCAGTGTTCTATTCAGGTGTAGAGTTCTAGAACCAATTCACTTGTTTTCATCTCGGCTGAAGTCAACATAGTTCTCAGGACCCAAGAACCATTTGCATTTGGTGGCTTCTGAAGACCAAACACCTCTCCGTCTTCGAGTCGAGTAATCCGAGAGGGACAGAAGGAAACTCACCGCCAGCTGCTGTACCAACCCCTGTTCTACTGTACCATGCAACTGCCTTTCTTGAGTCTTATGTGACCCCTCTTAAATTCAGAACAAGAAGACTGCTGTGAGAAAGCTAGGGTTAACTTTTGTTTTGAAATATCTTGGCTGCTGTTATTGCAAACAGGGAAAGTATAGCTTTAAGGTACAAGATTTGGTTCTGGGGTTTCAACCAGTACAGCTTGAATCTTGTGGGGGCATGAAAAGAGTATTTTTTCATCACCCCCACTTAATCCTTAATTATAATGGACTGGGATTCCTACTGCAGCAGGATATTACAGCAAACCCCCAGCTTTTTAACTGCTTAAATGACAAAATAACTATGGTACAAATGTCTCCTTTATTCTACAGTTTAATAATATTGTCAACACTCGCTATAGCTTTAGCAAGGGTATGTTTGATTAGTGTTTATAAACAAGATTCATATCCAGGTCATTTTAACGTCACAAACTACTTCATTACACTTATAGGATGGGTTTAAATGGAGACGAACGATATATAATCAGCGGGTTGTGATATTCAATATTGTTTATTATAAATATACTTCGTTGTATGTACAGTGTTTAATACAGGAATATATTATGTACAAATTCTGTATACAAGTCTTGCAGTTATGAGCAGTTAAGTGATCACACCTGTGCGTTCACGATATGAAAAGGTATACAGTGTTGAAAACACACTGTGAATTATACTTGGGAATACTGAAAAAGTAAAAAATAACTAATATCTTATTCTCGGCATGGAAATGAAGTACAGGAATGGGAATTCGCGCAGTTAAGATGGTTGGATTTAGTTATGCAACAAAGACGCCAAATTATCCATTCTGTGCACAACCCGTCGCAATAAGTGAACTAGCAGTTTCCACAGCCTATATACAAGTTTGCTCACACCTGAAGAAGACTCCACGCCCGAGACGTTGTTTTTCTTCTTTTTTTCAGCATGGAATAAACCTATTATTCCTATATATAAGTTAGAGGCTTTATGCAGAAACAGACATTTATTTATAGATCGGCTTAGGCTAATCCTACCGGCTAATACTCCGATAATTTCCACGTTATAAAACGTTAAGATCGGCTGCTACCAGCGTTTGTTTTTTCCCCTCAGAAACGATTTAATTTTTTGGAGCTGCGAGTCCATTCGCTTGTAAGTTGCACGTATACAGTATACAGTACAGGCTACAATTCTTTACTCGCCCCCAGACCTTGCTTTCTTCGAAACATGGTATTATCAAAAAACACTATTTTAACATTCATTTCAGTATCACTCACATTCCACGACTATTAAAGAATCAGAGAGACCTTGAAATGTATGAACATATCCAAATTATTATTAGCGATAAATCCGTTGGTTCTTTGGAAAGCTTCTGAAGTTTTGTTTTTACATTCAGAACCAGTCGTCTTTAAGTTCGCAGAAGCTCATTCCTTGGCCTGGCGACATGCAGATCTCGCATAAAGCAACTGTCAGCGAAGTGCGCCCTCCTTACCTACACCAGTGTGGTTTTCAAGCCCCCCGTGATGGACAATGAAAAGCCTTTTTATGAGAGTTTAATGACACAAAGCGCCAAAACAATTGCAACGAACAAGACAGCGGTGAATACCACCCCTGCCAGGATTTTGGTGGGGTCGCACGGGGACTTGTTTTCCTCGTTGACCGAAATCACCCCGATGGACGACGCCCCGACGCTGATCGTAGACTTCAGCTCGGCCCCGGGGTCCTGCTTCGCTTCCACCATCCAGTGGGCAACGTTTACCTTCATCTCCATCTCCTCCATCATCTCGCCCACCTGGCTGATCTCATGCTCCAGCTCTTTCAAGTCCACTACGTCGATATTGCTGTCCGCTTCGTACTTCATGTTCTGCGTGCTCATGGCGCGGGCAGCGACTCCGGACGTACTACCACACATCCCCGTCTGGATGAGGTGTCTCTTGGGGACGTGGAGAGGAAACTCCTGCCCGATTTCCAGCGCCTTCTTCATATCGAGCTCCAGCAGTTCCATGCTTGTCGAAAATATCACCCACAGGCGCTCGTACTCGGCGCGGTCCTCCTTGTTGATCGTCTTATCCTTGAGCAAAGCGGTCAGTTTGTTCCTGTTGGCCACGGCGAGGTCCTGCGCTTTCTTCCGGGTCCTCTTCAGCTCTTCCCGCAGGTTCTGGGAGTCCGAGGTGCCCCCGACAGCGACCACCAGGTGTCTGTAACAGGCGGTCACTTTGTTCAGCGCATCCAATAGTGTTTTGCATTCCTCTTTTCCCATATTTGTGTGTGCGAGGAACCGTTCCTTCGCCGCACCGGGTTATGGAAGATTTACGAAGGAAGGAAAAGCCGAAAAGGAGATGATTTGCGGGGAGGAGGGGCTGGCGTGCAGTCTCGATTCCCTGTGCTTTCAGATTCCAGAGCAGATGCGCAGCCTTTCACATTCACACAGCGATCTCTCCGCTGCAAATTCCTCTCCATCCATGTCAGCGAGTCCTGTGTTCTGCAGGATGACACGCTTGGCAACAAATGACCCCGCTCTCGCTCCTAAATCCAATCCTGCTGGACACGAATTAAGCGAGAAGTAAAAGCACCCCCGCCGCTCTGTTATTTACCGAAAACGTCGTTTGCCGTCGTAGTTGCAGCTTTGCAAAACAATGCAACATGACCAAAGAAGCATGTTCCGCTATAGGCGCTTCACCAGCGAGATCCGAACTCCTTTAAAACGCGAGAAGTGCGCTCATATTAACGACAAAACGCAGAAAATGGTACCAAAAATTGCCAAATGAAGTAACAAAATAGGATGCGTTAAATCCAGTTTAATACAAGACAGAAGTGGGGAAAAATAAACGCAGTGGAAACCAAATACTAGGTTAAAGAAAGAAAATCGTCAGGTAATGCCATAGAAACCTGCCTACAAGCAGCCCGTCGTTAACACATTGCTAGCTTGGGAGCTGTCCACTACAGCAGCAGAGCAGACGAGCTTTAAATACAGCTGAGCGCCCAGTCCAGTCACATGGCGCACACAACAGGAAGTAACCACTCAGGGGCAGGCAGTAGCTTCAGCGCTCAAGTCTCGAGTCCGACACAGCTCCGTGCTGATTGGTTGGCTTCTAGCTGTCGGGCCGGAGAGCGGCATACGATTGGCCGGATTCTGCCCTCACTCAAGATGGAGTCCACTCCCTGTGCAAAAACGGACCGGTAGTGCTGACGGTGGATTCGGAATGGTGTTTGTCTGAGTTTTCGTTGAGAAGTTGAGATTTGCAATGTCAGCCTGGCGTGTGTAAATTGGTAAGTCACGTCCATTTCTTAATATTCAGAGGAATCCGGGGTGGTCGCCGTCTTTTTTTCGGGGAAGGTGACTGTCACTTTGCTATAGACCGGTGTTAGGAAACGGATTTGTGCGGTAGCTACTCCCGTATGCTTCAAGTATCCTTTAATAAATAACACGCAAGGGGATCGTTAACATTGTTCTTATTTATTGTATTGTTCACGCATTTGCAGGTCGCTGATTTTATCGCGTCCCTGAGTCGGTTGCTGTTTTAAATTGTCATTAGGCGAAGCGACATCATATAAAGTGGAATTAACCGGGTCATCTTTTCTGTTCAAGTGTCGTGTCTCCTATTATCACGAGTTATCCTTTGGTGGTGGTGAAGGGTTGGTAGCGAATTTCAGAATAAAAGTTTCAATAAAACCTGACCCAGTGACCCCTCCATGTTTACTGGCTTGGGGAACTGGTAAAATACCGGTGCATAACACAAACCTACAAGATGGGGTATGAGTTTGCGGTTTCTGCAGCAGAGGGATCGGAAATGTTTTCGTCGCAGTAAGTGTTGTACATGCGGAAATGGTTCTTGAGAACAGTTTTTCTTCTAAAAACTCTGCCTTATCCGGCGACGCACGACCAGACACTAGCAAGAATAAATGGTACAGCGGGGACATGCCCGTCAGAGGTACATGCCTGTACCTCTGACACATATACAGAGCCTGCGCTTTGGACAGACAGATGTAACCCGCAGACGGTTTAAATTCGTATCAGGATGAATGCGGGTGTTAAAACTATCTAGGGCACGACAATAAAATAATCCATGGGTTTTGTCTGACTGGGAAACCACATAGGCCTGTGTGATTGTGTTGAGATGTAGGCTGTTTTGTGATAACACGATTCCAAATTTTAGGTTAATGGAAAAGTCTAGTATTGGTAGCAGATTTTGTTTGGTCAGTGTAAATTTTCTTATTTGGAAGGGACCTGGATTTATTCCCAAAAGTAATGAAACAAGCCTTGTATGGAATAAAAAAAGAGATGATTGAAACACTCCATGTATTATACAACAGTCATTACATTTTGGGCACGATGTTCTAAAGCAGCTTTAAGGTGTAAAGCTTCTCTGGAGCTGCCCTTTTAAATTAAAATATGCTTCTGATCTGGTGTATCAAAATAATTGAGAAAAAAGTTGCTCCTGTGAGATGAAAAGAGAAGTTGAGCTTCCAGTATGAACTGATCTTGCCTCAAAAAAACAAAGATGGTTTGATTGAATCCATAGCTGGGTTTTCGGAAGTGAAAGCTCTGTCTAGCTGCCAACAGACAGGTTATGCATCTTCAGGGCAGTGGAAATGTGCAGTATATACTGAGTTACAGTGGCCTGTTCTTGCCACAGGGTAAACAGCTGAAGTATAAAGCATTCCCATGACATATCAAGACTGGAGACACCCCCACTGCTGACTGCTGTGCTGAGCTCTGGGTTTTATCATGGTTTGCTTTGCCTTAGAGTCACGTTAGTCTCCAGCGCTGAGCAGTTTCTAACCACTACAGTTGGGCTTTAAGTACTCTGACTTCTCTTGTTGTGGGCTACAGAACTGAAACTGGCTTGATCCTGTCGTCAGGCTTTTTGATTCTGCACAAACCAGGTGTATCTGGAGCACAGTGCCTGTTTTCAGGCTTCGCCGTGAGCGTGGCTGTGTGGGTACCTCCTGAGGAGCAGATTTCAGCCCCGGAAGAGGCATCAGATGAAGGCAAGGAGAACCTTGCAGCAATGTAAAACTCCATCGGAGAGCCCTAGTTAAGTGACAGAAATGTGTGAAGATCATTTACAGTCAGCAGACAGCGCCGGATACGAGCTCTCGATCGCTTAATCAGTCAGTAAGCTGCAGCTTTAAGGAAAGGTGTACAAGGCATGAAAGAGGGAATAAAATGTTCCATGAATGCATTCTTAATCGTCCCTTCAAGAAATGGTGCTGGAGCAGTTGTTGCAGAGGTACTATAGTGTGGTGTCTGTAGGGCAGCACACTGGTAGGTTCACCTCTTCAATATGAGGAATCCTAACTGTTTATTTCTAGAAGTAGATCCGCCTCCCCACCTGTTACACAGCTCTTAACAGGAAGTAGTAGCCATGGCTGATCAGCCTTTGTCTGCTGTGGTAGATTCACATTGGCGAATGAAGAATGAGTCTGTATCTGGAGCCTCATTGCACACTGCCCAGCAGAAGGTTTTTTGATAGAGACTGAGGTTTCCCTGGTGTATCAGTGCACACGGTGGCTGACTGGCAGTGTCGCCTCCGCCCTCTCCTCTTCATCAGAGAAAGATGAAGGACGCCCTTGGAAGTGGTTAGGGCAGCATGGCGGAGTGGGGCTTGTACCAGGGCCGGGGGCTACACAGAGGCTGTGACTCGCCAGCGGAGATCAGCGAGGCAGAACAGATCTCCGCGGCGCTTGTTTGCGGAGCAGGCTGCAGAGGAAGCCGAGTGCCGTGCTTCACAGCTCAGACGCCACCTGTGTTCGGTGATGGTTGAGGTACTGGGCGAGTGTGCCAGTGGGGTAGAAACTGCTCCAGACAAGTGCAGAGATCGTTTTCTCACTCGGGCTGAGCCAGTCGTCTGGCCTGCTGCGACTGGCAGCTGAGAGCGCGCCTGAGTCTGTATTTCACAAACTGCTTTCAACGCAAAAGTGTTCTCATTTGGCCCTTCTTTCAGTATTTGTTTCAAACGTAAAGGCCGATATGTGGATTCTACAGTACAGCAAGGTAATGCTGGAGCAGGACAACTGCAAAACACCTAGAGAATTATTGGGGTTCTGAGGATGGTTTTCTTGAAGAACCTGAAAAAATAATCATAGGAACTTGGGAAATTCAGAACAGCATACAAATTATAATCCTTATTTCATCAGCACAGACGTTATGGACATAAAGGGTTAACCACTTTATTTTCCTAAGATGTATTTTATAGTTTGAAGGCAGCAGGCCACAGTTCTCACTACTGCATTCATGCTTGGCGATAAAATCTCAGTTGGCAGTGGCAACACACTGAAGAGGGGAAAGATGGATCTTGGTCAACACAATTGTGGATTGAAATACACTGTATGGTTGTGCGTTTGATAAATACGTTTTGATTGATTGATTGAAAATACAAGCACACTGCCGCTGTGCTAAAGCACGTGAGGGGTTGTGTGGTGTCTCAGTGCAGGAACTATGAAAAGGGTGTTTTTGACATTTTTCAAACCTCATCCTTTTTTTTCAGCCCTTGCTGAAAGCCTTTTCTCTTACACTGATGTCAAGCCAAGTTTGCAGCACTTTGTGTAGCGGCTGTTCTCTGTCAGTTGGAGTTTCGGGACCTGGTTCCTGCCATTTGTCTTGTTTGTGAGAACTGAGAGTTTACCCTGTGTGGCACGTGAAACTCAAAATAGTCTGTGAAACTTTACTGCTATGCTTGTTTATGTAATCTTCTGTTGTCAGCTGTTCCTCAGGAGTTTCGATTGCAAGTACTGCTTTCATATCATCCTTTATCTATTCTACCATTATCTTAAAGGATTAAATTAGCCTAAGTGATACTCATTATTATTTATTCATTATTAGTTATTTTGTCCTTTGTTCAAAGAGTAAAGTTCTTGCAGCTCCTTTTCCTGCCTCTGTGACTACTGCTGACACACACAAGACACTCCACAGCTGACACACACACACAAGTCACCTTAGGTTTTTATGTTTTAAGTGGTGTCTCATTATTCCCCTTTCAGGGAAGACTGCACAGTCTTCTTCCTTCCAGGCTGGTCTTCACTTGTCAGTAGATCTACTCACTGACTCTCCTCTAGGTCTTCATTAGTCACCAGGCTCTGGAGTACTCAATGAGATGAACTCTGTGTCACCCACACTTAATGGTCACTAAAATAATCACTCCAGCTCAAGGCTTTCCTCTACTCTTTCAGCTGAGCTCTTGCACTTCACCAAGCACTAGGTCTTCATTAACAGCCCCTAGCTGTCCGGATTGTTACTGACTCTCCCTGTCTTACCCTGTTTGGCCAGGGATGCATCTCTGTTATCAACATGTATGTCCCTGACACAGCAGCAGCCGGTTTTGTCGCTCTCTCTCGCTCTCTGAGCTCTCCTAAGAGCTCATTACTTGCACCCGGGCCCAAGTATGGGTTGCGCCGGCCCTGCCCATCATCCTGGTTCGGCTGGCCCACCCTGCTCCTCGGCAGTGCATTTCAGTCCCCTTGAGCCTGCCAGTGTGCTCCCAGTCATCTTGTCTGTCCAGCGCCTGTGAGTCCCACAGCTCCCCACTTTCCCTACTTCCAGGCTGGAGTCTGGACACAGCCTGAAAACCCTTTCCTCCTAGCTGTCCTTCTAAGCCTCTTAATTTGCCCGAAGGAGGGGGTTGATTCCTCACGACGTCGTTAATTCCTTCCTCGCGAAGCCACCTTTCACTACCTTTTCACCTTTTGGAGCAAAAGCAGGTGTTGACCCAGAGGCCCTGCTCACAGTCCCTCAGTGGGATAAGCTGGGGAGGTGCTATTTCGAGCAGCATTCGAAGAAAAAAAATCAGTGAGTTCAGCCTTGACCTCAGCTTCTGATGGCATTCTGCTCATTGTAGTATTAAAATGGCTTTTGAGCAAAGTTTCAGGTTAAGACAGGCGGAGTTACAGGTCTCTCCTGTCAGTCTTGCAAATGGAAATTCTCTCGCTGTGATGCACCTCTGCTGGACCCAGTGCACAAGAGCAGGGCCTGCACTGGCTGAGGCTGCACGGAGATCAGTGACTCACCTGGAAGACACGCAAGCTGAGATCAGTGAGACTGAACAGACCTCAACGGCGCTTCTTTACTCCCTCATACTTCTTTATTCACGTGTAAATCTGTATTTGTACCTTTTTATTATTTTCCAGATGATGCTAAAAAACGACACTGTTTCTCCAACTTTTCTCAAAGTTGACGGGTATTGACGTGCAACACACATTTGCTTCCCCATGTGTGCCTTTCTAATGCATCCCCAAAGCCTCGATGCAGCAGTATAAAAATCAGACACACGTCAGAACTATCAATAGCACCAGCATTCAGTGCTTGTGTAGCAGGTGTAGCAAATACCAGCCTTTTGCCATTTGACGAATCGTTATGGTGTTTCACTTATATTCTTCCCCATTCCATTTCCTGTCAGTATGTCTTGAAACTCGGTTATGCTTTGTAGGCAGTTAGCCTGGGAACATACTGTCTACTACAAGAGACAATGTCATTTATGGGGATGCGTAACAAGTACCAGCACCACACCTGTGACCAGAATCCAAACTCCTGAATGCCCTAAAGGGGAGTGTGCCATTAAGACATGATGTACCGCAGTAGCCACAAAGAGCCAGAAGAGGAGGAAAGAGTTTCGAATTCACAAAATCACTGAACTCTAAACACCGAGGTCTATTATTCATGATGGGAAGGGACGTCCAGCACAGCAGCCCTTGTTAATAATTGAAGGCGGACTGTAGATTGCTTGTGGATCGTTGCCTCTGGCTCATCAGCTGCTGGATGGGCCAGATGTTCTTGGAGCAGCTGGAAATGTTCTGACTGGCGATACAGCGCAGTGGTGAGACACAGGCACTGCTCAGCGGCTGCGGCGATATGGCTCTTTGCCCAGGGGCTGAGGGAAAGCACATGTGTGATGTGTGGCCTTGATCATGTGGAGCCTTGTCTAAACTGATTTATGATTTTTTTCCCTTTTCCTTCTTTTTTTTTACTCTCCCAAAATGTTTCACATTTCAAAAGAGCAGCACTAATCTACTTGGAATTTTTGCAAGATATCCTCCCCTCAGGCTAGATAACAGCTTGAGAGTATGTACATCCCTGCCTTTTCACTTCACGTTCAGTAACTTGAGACTTCTGTGCACTGCCCAGATCTCTGTGGAGCAGCACCAGAAAGTGAGTACAAATCTTACATGTTCGTATCATTCCTCCTGGCGTCTTGCTGTGTACTGTACTTGTGTCCCTGTTGTTGAAGCCTCGGACCTAACGCAAATTCAGGCATAGACCTCTTTTTAAAAGACATTGTTCCCTTTCTTTTTGAAAATAAAACTGGAGCGTGACTAGTTCCTATTTTTTGCACTGTTATGTTTGGTAACAGTAGTGTCATTGTTTTCACGAGTTCAGAGTTTTGCTTCCTTTGTAAGGGTCATTGCAAGGAATAGGTCTTTTGACTTGAATAATGCATAGCATGCCCAACCGTTCTGAGTTTAAGAGGTTTTAGCTTCTATTCTAAAATTATGCAGTGCTAGCATAAAAGCAAAACCGTTCAGAGGTGGTATTAAATGTCAGTATTTCCTGTAGCACGGAATTATTGATTCACAACTGTTGGCTTTGCAAAAGTTCTACATCAGCATTTCATACAGGGGTCATTAAACACTGCCAAGAACTGCACTTAGTGCTGCTTTTAACATGAAGAAGCACTGGGCTTGAAGGCGAGACGTGCTGGTCATTTTTAAGAATCTAACGCAAAAGGTAAAAATTAAGTAAACATTTTGCATGTCCTGTCCAGGATGTAGCTCACCTTCACCCACAGCTTGCTGGGATAGACTTCGGCTGCTGTGACCTTGAGTTGGACAGAATAGAAATTGGGTGAGAAAATGGATGGGTGGTTAAGAAAGCAGGACTGGTCCTGCAGGCAGTGAGTGGAAACCGGTTGTGTACAACTGTCTAATAGGCTTTTCTCTGAGGACTTTCTTTAAGGTTCGGGGGCATTGCTGAGGGGCCAGTAGCACTGAGAAGCCCGCAGTGGTGGCATCACATCTCGCTGGGGTTGTTCTGCACCTAGCACCCTTCTGCATCAGAAGAATTAGCCGTGGTTTTTTATGCGTTCTTTCAGGAGGTATTGATTCAATCCGATGTAGAGACTGCGAGACGTTGTTTTAAACGTGCCACCCCAAAAAAACCAGTACGAGGGCCGCAGCTCTCGTAGGAAGGTCTTGCAGCTGACCTTTCGACCTTTCGCCACATGGGCACTCTGTTTTGAAATGATCTGACCCCACTAAGGCACATTGGTAATGATGTCAACGTATGTCTGAGAAATCCCAGGGGTACGACTATCATTTAGTGTTTGGGCTGTATCTAGTGATTTTTCTCTCGCATGCAAGTTTGAACTTTGGAGTATTTTGCCAAAATCCGAGTTGGCATGAAATCTGTTATTTAGTACAAACCAGGTGTGATAAATGCATTTCACATAGAAAGGATATTGCCCCTGCTTTATCCATAGGGCAATAGGTGGAGGCAGTGGAGCCCGGGGCCTGTTGCTGAGTGTTTCTTTATCTCCCTTTGCTCCAGTAGGATGCTCTCTATTGCTTGGCTGAACATCAGTTCTTACATACTCATTTGAAAATGTAGGAGTTGGCAGGCTAACTGTCAGATGGCTGCATAAAGTTTACCACTATATTATCTGGAAAGAGAGAGAACGCAGCCAGTTCCAGTAAGGTGAAGCTTAGAAAAGTTGAACTTTCTTCCTTGCAGCAGGAATGATGCAGCCCGGGTGCCAGTCAGGTTATCGTTACAGGAATACCTCATGCACGGGAGGTATGTAAGTCTGTGACCCTCTGACATCTGTTAGATGAATTTCAGAATTTAGAGATTCAGCACCGAGTAGCAGAAATATAGGAACAAAACACACTGTTTTGCTGGGTTTTGGATCGGAGACGTTGACGTGAAGAAGTAGCGAAATCCACACAATCCAAGAGTGTTTTCTACATCCATGTGCCAGGGCCTGTCCTCCAGGTCAACACCAGGCTTAACTGCAGGGCATGCCTCCGTGTCGACTTTGTATTTTAAATAGTCAGAGAATAGTAGTATTTTCTAAAATACCTGTGGTTGTGAAGATTTGCTTCTGTTTTAATCCTTATTTTGCATTATAGAGTGATCCGTTGTTTCAGTTATGTAGCCACCTGCTGGGAATCTCCAGTTTTGTTTTTTTGTGCTCTCAAACCTGCAACCTCACACAGGAGAGATGAGCGAGTACAGATATGCTCCTCCCACTCGCCCTCCTTCAAGCCCCTTGTAATTGAACAAGTCACTTCCTCCACCTCAGGCCTGCAGGTGAAAGGTCACAAGTCCACTGTGCTCCAGGGACAGCGGACCTTGTGTCAGCTGGGCACAAGACCCGGGTTCAAATGCACTCTTGAGTCTTAGACCGCAACCTGTGTTCAGGTGAGCCTCTTAACCAGTTGACCCCTACTTCAACAGTTCTTTCACACAGCATGTGAAGTGTTTGGGAGCGGTTTCTAGCACGAGTCTGGAGAGCGAGTTTCCCAGTGACGCGTCTCGCGACTGAGCCCCGAACGTTTCTGACACGCAACCTGCTGTCAGTTAAATGACAGAAATGTTTCAAAACTCCATTCTGTCTGATGAAAAGATCGTTTCCTTTTCATCTGAGCTATTGTATTCTTCTTTGAGCTAATCAGTGGCTTAATGACACCGTGATGAATTTCAGCCAGTCGGGGGTGACTTGTGCCTTTAGCCGGTAACGGTTTGACCCCGTCTGTTACTCAAATTTAAATGTGCAAAATTCTCTTTCTCTGACATCTGTCTTACAGGATGATTGTAAAAGACCTACAGAGACATTAACAATGTCAGGAGGGAAGGGTGAAGGTCCTTGCTGCAGACGTGAACAGGTGCTATTGTTGAAGTTCTTTTGTCTCTTTACCTGCCCAGGTGCGCCCGTCGGACTTCCATATGGCTGTGTATGATGAGGACATCCTGAAGAACCCTTTTTACCTGGCACTGGAAAAGCAGCGCCCAGAGCTGTGCAGCAGAGTCGCAGAAGCCCATGGTGTTGTAAGTGTTCGTTTTACACTGGTCTCTCCTGCAAGAACCTGCTACTCTGCACCTCGTGCTGGTGTGCGTGTATCCAGCCTTGCACAGATAGCTTGCCAGCCGGAGCCTATCCCAGAAAGCAGTGGGCGCAAGGCAGGATACCCCCTGGATGGGATGCCAGACTGTCACCGGGCATGCAGACACAGTCACACCAGGGCCAGTTTTCCCAGGAGCCAATTAACCTGTGAGCATGTCTTTGGATTTGTGAGGAAACTGGAGCACCCGGAGGAACATGCAAACATCACACACATAGCTCCCCAGGAACTGAACCCGGAGAAGTCCACGGTAGAGGAGCACAGCAGCGGTTGTACAGTATGTCAGTGCGTTGGAGCAACCAGGAAGCATGGATTGTGTGATGTCAGGGAGGGACTGCAGTGTCTGGAATAAGTAGCCGGAGGGAAAGAAAAGCCTCAGGCCATGTAGCAAAAACAGTGGCTCCTTCAAACACCAGAGAAAGAAGTAACAATAAGGCAACCTGCCTGAGATGTGTTGCTTGAGGGCTGATTAATGAGCTCTTAACTCATCATTAAACCCACAGGTGACAATCATGGCGCTCGGCAGGGTGCTCGGCCCAAGCAAACCTAACCTTTATCAAAACAACATGCTCTTACAGCTCAGACTGCTCGCCTAATTAATGTGCAGCAGGCTGAAAGGGCTCCCGATGGCGAATTGATTGAGATTTTCTTTTTTTAGGTTCCATTTCTGTCTCGTGCGCACTTGAAAACCGCGTCATTTGCTGTTCGCTTGCATTAGAGCCCTCACCTGCTTTAACAGCGCACCCTTGTGTCATTGTAAAGCAAGCATTGTGCAGGTGGCTCCGTGGACAGAAACTCATTCTGATTGTGAATGAGCATTATGAAAAGCGCGTCCATTTTCCAAGTGCGAAAGAGTTCAAGAACACAAGAACTACCTTTTCAAGCCTCAGCCTTTTGTTTCTGGAGTGCCTGAAACTTTGCAGCTCTGCTTACATTTTTAAAACCCGTTAGAGCACTAATATCACCTCTTAGCTGTACTTTGCCTGTTTCAATGCTGTACTAAGCTAGAATTTTAGCTGGTGGCTTTTTATCCTTCGGTGTAGTTCTTAGTTTTAGCAAGTGGCCGTTTTGATTTAGCAGGTTGCTTGACCTTCTTGATGTTAATCTGCTTGACTCAAAAAAAAAAAAGGAAAAAAAAAGCGTACATGTCCAAAGAATAACAAGAAGCTTTGTTTCAGTATATTATAATGTGGGGAGGAGAGCAGAGTAATGAAGCCAGTTCATAGATGGGGATTATAAGGAGGCCATGATTGGTAAGGGCCAATGGGAAATTTGGCCAGGACGCCGGGGTTGCACCCCTACTCTTTTTGAGAAGCGCCCTGGGATTTTTAATGACCACAGAAAGTCAGGACCTCAGTTTTACGTCTCATCCGATGGACGGTGCCTGTTTACTGTATAATGTCCCCATCAGTATACTGGGGCATAAAGACCCACATGGACCGTAGGGTGAGCGCCCCCTGCTGGCCCCACTGACACCACTTCCAGCAGCAGCCTTAGTTTGTCTCAGGAGTCTCCCATCCAGGTACTGGCCAGGCTCACACCTGCTGAGCTCCAGTGGGCTGCCAGTTGTGAGTTGCAGGGTGATATGGCTGCTGGCTGTGGGAAACTAGTGGGGCCTGTGGGAAGTTGTGTGGGGAGGCTGGGGACTGGGGAGCGCTGCTTTAATCTCCTCCCGCTGGCTTGACCTCGGCCTCCATGTGATCGCTCTCCTCCGTGCACTGCGCTGAAACCGGCCTTGTCCTCTGCTGAGGGGCTAATTGCCTCGGTACACAGTTTAGTTATGGCTGGTTTGTGTCCAGATTTAGTTTTGTTGATTCCTTAGCTAGTTTCCATAGTGCCACAATCTGTTTATTCCATCTGAAATTGACTCTGATTGGGCCTAATTCAATTTTGCTTCATCCCTGTCAGCTGAGGCGCAAGAATCCAGTCACTGTGCCTGACTGGGGCTTCGTCGGCCTTCCGCCTCTTTCCTTGAGAGGCTCCGTCTCTAAAACTGGCCTTCAGGTCCTCCAGGTTACTTCATCAGAGCACATACGGTCGGCCGGACCCAACACAAAATCCTTAACGCTTCCCTGGGCCTCCACTAGTTACTTCAGATTGCACATCCGAACCTTCTGGTTTTTAGAAGACCCTTCTTTAAAAGCTTTTTTTTTTTTAAAAAAGAGCCGCGGTGCTGCGCTAGAGACTCGCAGAGTTGTGAACCACATTTGCTTTTCTGTTTTGACGAGTCGGAGTCTGGATCGTCCTGTGCTTGCTTTGGGGGTGAAGGTGGCTCCCTGTCCTGTCGCGCTCGGCGGGCTGTGTGCCATGCGGCACCTGAAGCCAGCAAACACAGCCAGTCTCCTAGCTCTGCGCTGGCACTGGGAGCTCGAGCCCTCTACTCCTGGTCCTGCGCTGCCTCAGTCTTCTCTGCTTCCCAGCCCTGCTCAGTTCTCCATTACAGAGCTGCAGGCAGTGGCAGTGAGACAGGGGAATTTCCCAGGAGTGACACAGGAGCTGACCGGGGACCCCTGAATCAGCAGACGGCACACTGACCCCTGGGCTCCCCCTCACCCTGTCTGCCTGTGCTTCCCGCTAGGTCCTGGTGCCGTGCTGCGGAAGTCTGCCTGCCAGAAGCTATGACCCGGCCCTGTTTGAGAGCTACATCCTGCTGCCTGTGGAGGGAGGCTACCGGACTCTCAGTGGAAAGGTACCGTGAGCCAGTGGGGTCAGAAGTGCTCTCTGTGTGACTGATCCGCGTTTTTCCTGCAATCGTTTTAAAAACTCTGCCGCAGCTGACCATAATGCAGGTTTCTCTCCATGTCATAGCAGTGGAAAATACAGAAACAGGATGCGGCTTATTTAACTGGAAAGCAATTCTGTTTGCATTTGATCCATCCAGCTCCTAATCTTTTATTTAAAAGCCTTTCCCTGCTGTGTACTGTCTGAAATGGTTTCCCAGTTCCTGTCCCTGGTGGCCAGAGTTTTGCATTTAACCAGAATGCCTAAAATGGACAAGTGCATTAATTTTACATACATGCACATGACACAATTTCAAGGGGATAAACATCTGCTATAAACAAAGACCTGTCTGTCATGGTGTCTGAGATTTGAGCTTGCGGTGGCAATAATGTGTTGTGTATCATCATTCTCTGAAAAAAAAGAAAAATGTTTTTTTTCAAAGACCATACAGTAACTTGTAAAAAGTAAACATATGATATGTTGTAAATTCCCAGGACTGGCTGGGAAAATCCTAAGAAAATTTACCAATTTAAAAAACTTGAAACATTTTTTTAAAAGAAGAGATGATTATTCAACTTAAACTTAAAACCGAATAATTGTCTTTACTTTGCAGTACTTCTTTTGTTCTTTAACTCCACTTGTTCTGCAGAGATGATGTTTTAAATATTTTATTAATGCTGGATGATTTACTTTGGCATGTACAGTACACGCTTATCTCTCAACCTTCCACTTTAAATAATGGCTTTTCGTTAGTAACGTTCATTAGTGTTTAATAAAGTAGTTGAAAGTGCCCATTACCTTCACTGTCAAGTCTTTGTGGTGTGCTTTTTTAAATTTCAAAATTTCTACGTCAGTTTATTTTGGTTGCCTCATATTGTACACATGGTCAGATTGTTAGGAGCTTCCAGTCAAATGTCCAGAATCTTTCAGCTGTACATGTACTTGACATGAGGAGCCAACTCAAGGCAGGCCTGCTTTCCTGGGATGGGATTTGCATATGATTTTTTAAAAACCTTATGGAATACTGTACATGGCAAAGTCTGGTCGAGCTGTTGGTGCAGCTCTCTCATATCATTTGCTATGGGCTCCTAATATTTGACCAATAAGTGTAGAACTTCTGCAGTTTACAGGATAGGCTACACCTTTGGTTTGTAAAGTATGGAATGGTGAGTGTTATTATTTTAAGTATGCACTTGCTTTGACTTATTTTTGCCTTTAATTCATTAAAAAAATAAAAAAAAACATTGCAAATAGATATTTTTGTGGATCCTTGCAGAATTCAGAAGTACTTTTCTAGCACATTTTTGTCTCTATTTTGAAAAAGGGAAATACATGCATACTGTATATAACACACAGAAAAAAGGGTACTAAACTATTTAAAGATTCTGAAAATACCACTTAATCTGTCTTCCTTTATTCAATATGGTGCCCTTTGCAACTACTTACTACACAGCAGAGGAGAACAGGTTTATAAAAAGGGTATAAAATAAAAGAGCAAGGAAAATCAATTATGGTATAAAAAAGAAAGAACTGAAGTAAGATTCAATATATATTTTAAATTATACACAACATACTCACAGAGCAGCGTGGCCTAGTTTAAGTTTTCCAGCCCCTTACAGCCTAACTGGTGAATCTGATGGTGGGGTTTTTGTTGTGTTTGTTGGTAGCCTGCCAATTATGATTGTCAGGAGGGTACCAGTTTTGTTTGTGATCAACTTTTTATTTTAACTATTAAAAAAAATGGAACATTTACAAGTATTAGAAGTCTTGTGAAACCAGATCAGCAGCTAGGCTCAGACTCAGGAAGGCAGAGGGACCAGCAGTGCCCTCAAGTCTCCTGTGCTTGTTTCCCGAAGAAGGTGTTCGGGTTGAGCTCATCCGAACAGGCCCCTGGAACATCTCGCTGTTGGATGATGTCATGGGCGTGCTGTAGACTCATGAGTGGCCACGATCGCTTGCCTTTCAGGAGGTGGTCATTCAGGACAGCCTGGTCAAGCTGGGAGCTGGCTTCAACACACCGCCCACTGTTCCCGTTCTGTTCGAGGAGACCTTCTACAATGAAAAAGAGCAGTGCTACAGCATCCTGTGCATTGCTCGCCCTGTAGAAACCGCCCATAGCCCAGGTACTCCTCCGAGTCTAAAGAGTGCCGTGTCTTGTGTGTGCCGGTGTTATTTAGCATGATTCAGGCCTGCTGAAATACTTTGCTTAAAGTAAGAAGGAAATACAGTTTCATGCAGCCCTACCTATAAGGATATCTTTATGTCTAGACTGTCTGTCCCATTCTTGCTGTATTATAAAATATGTACTGGTTCTTTTCAGAATACCTTGCCATCGCTGGGGTTCAGTTCCAGGCCCAGGGTGCATGTGGATGGAGTTTGTGTGTTCTCCCCGTGTCTTTTAGAAATCATTGGTTCAGTAAATCTGATTATTCTTTTCCTTATCGTTTCTGCGTCCCTCTCGCTCGCTCTCTCCCCCAGTGGAAATAGTTGCTCCGACAGCTCCATACTGTTTGAAAAACGTGGAGGACGTCAAGGAGTTCTTGGGTCGGCATGCAGAAAAGCTGGACAAGTTCGTCGCCGCTTTTCGGAATACTTTCAAGGAGCACGAAAGGAAAGGGCTCCGCCACCAAATAGTAAGTTTTCATCGAAAAGATTAACCTCATGTGCGCAGGTAAAAGACTTCTGGAATGATGGATGTTTCTAAAAAGCTAGAGCTGAGAGCCTGGTGAATTGTGAAGCTCTTCTTGGGAGCAGTCTATCTTTATTCTAAAAGAACCCTTTCTGAAAGGACACCTGCCAACCTGCTGTTAACATTATTTCAATAATAAAAAAAACAGCTCATCAAAACACCTCTTAGCTTTCAATTGAAAGTGTCTGTCATTCAGAGCTGTGAATAATCGTGTTCCTGTGGTCCTGCTCACCCCTGCCCCTGCTGGGGTGCTGTGAAGCAAGCTAGCATTGACATGGCAGCCTGCCACACCCCTTCTTTCCTGCACAGTGGTGCCAGTTGTCATGGAGATGTAATCAGACGGGAAGTTTGATTCACCTGTGTGCTGTGACTACCTGGCTGTGTCAGTCAGGTGAATCAGGCTATTTAAGGGCAGCTCTGACAGCACTGTAATATGTTGTGTAGTGATTATGAAAGAGTTATTGTGGTATTTCTTAGCCTCATTCAAATCAAATGTTGCCCAAATTTGATTCTTATTTATACAGTTTTGTTTCGTATGGATGAGAAGAAACCAAGCTTGACATTTTGCAGTCTTTAATTCAGATTGATCAGATTCTTCAATAACTTGCAACTTGATGCAAACCCATACTGTGCATGACTAGGTATGGTGGTACATTTTAGTGTCTAATCCAGTGTCTAATTGCCAACCAAATCTAAATTAGCTCATTGAACGCTGTTTCTCATCATTAATATAATTTGTTCCTCTCTAATCATCCATGAAGCTAAAAGGCTACTTTTTATATTCTCAAAGGTTTTTCAGATTTGTAAGTATGAACTGTTTTAAGCCAATTGGCAAACATGTTAGAAGAAATTTGTCGTAGATTTGTGTTTGTATATAAGGAAACTGCTCTCCTCCTCCGCTGCAGAGCCAGAGAGAAAGTGACAATATAGAACAGTCAGTCACATACAGTATGTTTTTGTGAGGAAGGCGGAAACCGGAGTGCACAGAAAACACCCAAGCAAATGCTTGATGAATGTGCAGCTTTCAGTCAGACGCTTGAAGCTGAAATCAAACCCAGGATCCTGGAGCTGTGAGGCAGGTGCTAGGCTGTGCAGCAAAGTGTTCCCTAGAAATGAAAGACCTGGTAACAGAACAGGCAGCTGCACGTAGACACAGATATCCTTGAGGCCTGGAGCTTAGTTTATTTTAGTACATTTCCTTCATTTGTGCCACACTGATGTCCTCAGATTACCCAAATCTACAGGCGCACAGTTCAGGTGCTTGAGGGCCTCTGTCCAGCAGCTTGGACGTGTCTCTCTAAATCACCAAAAGCTTAGGCTCTGGAAAAAGTGTTGAAGTGGTCCAATTAAGCTTCTATCCAATTAGATGATTAAAAATTAAAAGCTTAGGCCTGTGGGAGATTCAACTATTGGTATAAACTGATGTGTGTACACTCTCGCCCTAACTCTTCATCTGCAGCAGAAGGGAAAGGCTTTATCCCAGCAGAGTCGCATGTCCTTCTGCTGTGTGGAGGAAAACTGAGTTTCACACCTCTGGTGTGAAGGACTTAATTGATGTTATGTTGTTTGTTTTTTAGCCTAAACAATTGTTCGCATTAAAGTGATTGCGTTAAGCTAATTACAGGAGCTGCCTTTTATCAATTAAAACATTTTGCACTCTTCGCTTTCAAGTACCAACTGAAGAAGCCGTGCCAATTGAGCATGAATAATTGCTCCTAGCACATGTCTGGCTGAGGGCCCAGCGCTGCGCCAGGAGAGCACAGATTTACTGTCGTTGGTGTGGAAAACATACCATGAGGAGCCCCCTGATTTTCTTTAAAAAAAGGAAGATTTTTATATTGTTTCACAGAACAGGACCCTCTGTTTCAACATTTGCATGACCCCTCAGAGCACAGAGCTCTCAGAACTCTCAGAATCCAGCTGCTCTGATTTTAGCCTAAACTGAAATGTGTGAGTATTTTGAAGATACTGCTGCTGACCCTTAAGGTTCTGAGCACTTTGCTCCTGACCTGTTGCCCCAGACGCACCCACACGTCGTTTTGAGCTGTTGGGACTCTGGTCGTCTTTCACTTCCCAGCATGAGGCTCTGTTTCTGTTCTGTTGCTCCAAGACGGTGAAATAACTCCCATATCGGATCGTACAAATCGGCACTTTCCAGATCTTATCTTAAAACTCTGTCTTATATTCTAGCTTTTAACTTGTTTGCCGTTTTAATTTGTGTCTCTTTTTGTATACTTGCGTTATTGTCCAGTGCCTGTGTCATATAATTGATTCATTAGTTGTTATTATACATCCTTAATTGTCCCAATTATCCCCTTATTGGGACTAATTGAACAGTCTCTTCCCTTGGTTTTAAGCACTTCATGATTTATAGATGGCTACGAAACTATCTCAGCCTCTGCCTGGAATGTTGCCTTACTACTGCAAGGTATGAAAATATCACATTTGCCCCCATGAACACATCATTAGAGCTGTTAAATCATTGAGAGCTCAGGAAACAAGGCAGAAGAAGCCTGCAGCTTCTTGGAGCTGGTGCTTAACAGCCCTGCTCTAATTACTGAGCAGTACAGTATATCTGGTTCTCCTGATCCTGTGCATGAGGGCTCTGTGCTCTGAGGGGAATCCGCTTAGTAAGTGAAATAATTATTTGCCTAATTAAAAAAAAACTAACGGTCGTTAAGCAGTTGGTCATTTAAAGGTCCTTAAGGATATGGAAAACTTTAGAGGGGGGTTAAGTGATGCCTTTATCCTGTTTACTTGCTCTTTTTACAGTTTTTCAAAAATCTGTAGAACTTTGACCTGGTCTTTCTATAGTTTCCAGGCTAGGAGTTGTAAGCCTGCTTTTATCGCAGGTTCAGTTCAGTGAGCAGTTCTTGAAAAATGGGTCTTCAGTGTTTTTGATGGAAATGGTGCTGTTGCGGACTGAGGTGTAATTTGTGCACCTGCTTTCTTTAAATTCAGGATTCTGTGAACGCACTTTACACAAGATGTCTTCAGTGCTTGCTCAGAGACTCACGACTAGTAAGTCCCTTTCAAAAACTTTGTTTAAATCCTGCATCGTTCTGTGTGCCGGTTCGGGTTCTGCTGGGTTGCCCTGACTCCTGTCATGTGTTTTTGCATGTGCAGAAGGTACTGTCCAAGCAGGAGCTCCAGATGACTCTTCTCAAGCAAGCAGTGGAGGTGAGGCCGGGGGAGAGTGTGTGAAGAGCTCAGGCGTGTCGCCTTGCAAGTGTCTGAGTGGCAGTGATGAGTACAGCCTCCTTCCCTAAACTATTCCCGGGCCACTGGAGGGAAAGAAATGTAGAGGAGAAGGTTTGAGGAGAACCCTCAGTCGGCAGAAATGGACAATGTGACCACCCTCCCCAACACATACCCCCGAAAAGTAAACAAGCCTCTATGGGGAGTATTGGCATCACCACTGTTTGGTGGAACCTGGGTTTTGCCGTGTGTGAAATTTGTGAGTCACAGGCTGGTAAGATGTGTGGCCACTGTTGCAACTTGTAGATACCGTCTTGTGGAATTCTGTCCCATTCCTGTCTCTGAGCCTGAAGAAGTCCTGTTTATGACTGTTTACTGGTCTCTGATCCCTGGAAGCCACTTGTTGTCCCAGCTCATCCCCCAGTGGGTCAGTGGGGCTCCGGTCTGCTGGGAAGAGCCTCCACAGCACATCTGAGAGACCTTGTCGCATAAGGACATTGCGTTGTCCTGTTGGGATGTTGTCACATCAGGATATGAGCCTGCTGGGTGGACAGGAACTGACGTTCATGATTTCATCAATGTAGTGTCATGTAGTCAGATTGACATCAATCACAAGCAGCTATAAAGACACCTGGCCTGTCTCATCAATCCGGTCACAATCGTTTTTACGGCTACATCATAGTTGCTGACGTCCATCAAGGTGGTTAGCAGAAAACCTTGATTCATCACGTGCGAGGACTTGACTCCACTGCTTCCAGGACCACCTGAAGTGCGTCTTCAACATGCTGCTGGCATTAAGGCATTGCTCTGTCAATAACCAGGGCAACTTGGTTCCTTCCTGTATCTTTTCCTTGATTTTCACCAGGCTTGGCTTTCAATAGGCTAAATCACCTCATGGCCTTTTGCACAAGCAACTCTATCACTAATGACGTGGTTTTGTGCTGATGGGACAGTCAGACTTACTACTGTACTGTGGTCAGTCATGACTGATCAGTTTATCAAGATGATGGCAGAAACATTAAAGCAACATCCAAATGATGAACACGAATTGAGAATTAGAGTATTGTTTGTTGCTCAGTATAGGTTTATTGTATGTTTTCCAATGTTTTGTTTTCAGTTCTTAGTACATGGAAGAGTTTCTGTGCTGCTTTATTTTATATTTCAAACACTCTTGAAAGGGAGTAAAGAGCCATTACTTCTTCTGCCCCAGGCAGTTTATTATTTAGTGTTCTGTATTTACTTATTCATCACTCCCAGGATAGAATGAAAGTTTCTTATTGAAAGGGCCAAGTAAGGACCGGTTTCCTCTAACATTGCAGGGGTTGAGAGAGTCTACCTTGAATAGTATAGTGCTGTCAGGACATGCAAATGACTGTGTATTTTGTGCTTATCAGGGATTCTGTAATGCAAAGTAAATTTGTCTGAGGGGTAATACTGTATAATTCAAGTTCAAATTAATTTGAACTTTTGACTCTGAATGTGTTTTAGCACTAAAATGTCCATACTTGGTGCTGAATCAGCATTTTCTCTCCCCAGATGTATATACACCATGGTATCCATGATTTAATCTTTAAGTATGTGGGGACCATTGAAGCCTTCCAGGTATGACACAGGACCTTTCTTCCTGCATCTTTCGTTTGAAACTAGAGGCTTACTTGAATATCACAGCACACTTGTTTTTTTGTAAGACCTTAGTCGAATAAAGATTAGTCAGTGTTTTGCTACTGCACTGTATATCCCTCCCTTAAAGATGTCAAGACATGTGAGAGAGGGCAGGAGGTTCAGGCAAGATGGAGACTTTTCTGAACCCACTGCCCCTCACAGGCTGTTTTTGAAACATTTGTTTCAGGATGCTGCATTTAACAAGACTACCAGACGTCTACAGGACCTTCAGCAAAAAGACTTGGGAGTTAAATCTGAATTTAGGTGAGCCCAGGTGTATTGAGAGGAATAGGGAGAAGGGCAACATGTCTGTCATGCTGTTTCTTTAATATCTGAGTAGATTATAGCGAAGCTATGCCAGATGTTACTTTTTGCATCGTCTCGCTTCAGCATGTCAAGATGCTAAAACATTGCAGCCAACAAAATGCATCTTTTGTTAAAGCTTGAGGGTCTGGAAGGGGAGGGCTGGAGAAGTGACAGAGCCGAGTCTGGGTCTCACGCGTGACTGTGCAGCATGCCCGATGCACACGCCTGTGACAGCACAGCAGCCTACACTGCTTGGGGAGCGTCGTTCATGCAGCATGAACATTAACGCCAGAAATAAACAGATTATTCACTTTGGGAACACTTGTTTTAATATTAGAAGTTACAGATCTTTTTCTTAAATTTTCATTTGAATTCCCTTGTTCTCCTGCATGAGATAAAGTGTTATTATTAGTTTCTTTGGGGTCTGAGGTCTTGTGGGCTGTGTGGAATAGTGCTTAGGGCTTAGCTCTGCATGGCCACTCCTGTGGCTCTTCGAGCAGTTTTACTCCAGTGGCTTCAGTCCAGGGTGGTGAGGTGGCGCAGGGGTTAATACTGCCTTGCAGTGCTGGGGCCCTGGGTTCAGTTCCTGGGGTGCTACTCTGAGTGAGTGAGTATTCTCTCCCCATGTTCCAATGGGTCTCCTCCAGGTGCTCCAGTTTCCTCCCACAGTCTGAAGACATATTGGCAGGTTAATTGGCTTTCTGGTAAATTGGTCCTGATGAGTGTGTGTGTGTGCCCTGTAATGGACTGGCGCCCAGGCTGTTCCCTGCCTTGTGCAGGGACAGACTCCAGCTCCCCCGTGACCGTGAACTGGAAGAAGCAGCAGGAAATGGATGGAGAGATGGCTTCAGTGAACCAGTGAGCATTAATCTAGAGCTGCATTTTGTGACACGTTAATCTGTTATTGACTTGCATCCCCACAAGGGCGGCGGTCTTGTATAGTCTCCGTAATGTTGCCATGAGTGGGATAATCTCTAAAAACTGTGAGCTGCTGGCCTTGTGGTAGGACTTTGATCATTTAATCTAGGATTAAATATAGGATTTTCTTTTGAAATTTAGCCAGGGACTCTTGAATCATGTCACAAAACACCAGGCCTGTTTAATACTGTATGCATCGAGCTTTCTTTCCTGATGTGTGAGAAGTGGAATTAAATGTGCCGTGAACTCCCCAAGCAGGGTTATGTGCTATGTGAGTGTGTGTCCGTGCACGCCGCACCGCATGGACCCCAGACCCCAGAGCACAGACCCCAGAGCACAGACCCCAGAGCACAGACCCGCGCTTCCTGTCTTCCTCCTTTCCAGCATCAACGTGCCGCGGGCCAAGCGGGAGCTGGGCCAGCTGAACCGCTGCACCTCTCCCCTGCAGAAGCTGCTGTGCCTCCGCAAGGTGGCCCTGGCCATCGTGCAGCCCCCCAGCCGCAGAGGTGCGTACCCCCGCCCGCCGGCCCGCCGCCGCAGGAGCGCAGGGGCTGTTGAGTGAAGACTGCCGAGAGGAGACGTCAGCCGCCCTGCTTTCGCTACCGCAAAGCGACTCGGTGTTGCAGACTAAATAACCCCTTCTATCACAGCGTCTTATCTTTAACTGAAACAAGTGAAGATGTGCTTCTGTCTCTTTCATCAAGGCCACTTGGTGCAAAGATCCGAGCCATCGTTAAAGAGGAACAGCAGTCCCAATTTCTGAGACCGGTTATTATAACTCGGTAACCAAATAAATTCATGGACGGCATAGAATATTTTTACAACTTTCACTTAGCTCAAAATCGTGAGCGTTGTTGAAGTATTGTATGTAAGTGCAATACTTTCATAATAATTCTTCATTGCAATAACAGTGTTCTGTAGCTACCCACATATCTACAAGAGAGTTTTATTAGTTTTGTGTTTTTCCCCATGCCATTAGTGTTAAGGTGTGAAAGATAATATATACAGTATAAATGGCAACACCATGAGGTTTTCAGTAGTTTGTTTCCATCATTCACACAGAGTCTTTGATTTCCAGTTACTCCTGCCCGGACTGTAGATATCTGCTCTGTGAGATTGAATTTCAACACTCTTGCTTTCCTCATTAAGTGAGACGCGCTTAGTGTCAGGACACCCGTCTGCCGCTTGTCAGTAAATCAGAACTGAGAATGAGTAGAAGGAAAAACATTGCTCCACTTGAAAGTGCCCTGTTGGCTTTGAGCACAGGAACACCAGGCTGGCAATTAATAGTTGATCATGTTTCCTTTCTCAGTGTTAATGGTAATAAATGACTCTGGTAATGGTAATGATTTGTGATTACCTTCTCTTTTTCCAATAAAACAATTTTCTCTTTTATTTTTTTGGCAGTGAACATAGAGGCCATGTGTGCCGATGACCTCCTGTCTGTGCTGTTGTATTTATTGGTGAAAACAGAAGTACCCAACTGGTAGGTAGATACCCCTATAATCTTTTGGGTTTTTTGTTTATTCTAAAATTGACAAAGCAAATGTAAATCTACAGGTGGCAGCTCTTCTCATTGAGCAGAAATTTCTGCAGGATCTTACCACGAGGCCAGGCCACAGACGCCATGCTTAATGCCTGAAGTAGGAATACCAGAATCTTCCCGAACATTGTTCTCAGAACGTTGGGAAGTTCTTTATGTGAACAAAACGGACTGCGTGCTTGTGGCTTGATCAGGGAAGCAGAGAAGGGCTCTGTACGTGCGTGCTGAGAAAGGATTGTCGTAGTTGGGCCGTGCCTTTCGGTCAGACGGAGATCGAATGGCTTGGCCCCCAGCTGGCTGCTGCTGTTGCTCCCAGCGGGATCGCGCAGGGGGACTGCGGCGTCGGTCTTGGCCGTGTGCTAGTGGGTCGTACCCGTGTGTTTTTCAGGATGGCCAACCTCAGCTACATCAAGAACTTCCGGTTCTGCCACTCTTCAAAGGACGAGCTGAGCTACTGCCTGACGTCGTTCGAGGCCGCGGTGGAGTACATCAGCCAGGGCAACCTCACCCTGAGGCAGACGGTAAAGGGCCGCCCCACTGACGCCCACAGCGATGGGCCACCCACGCAAATCCATCCGAGGATTCGGGTCCTGTGCTCTGAGGGGAATCTTTTAACACCCCACAGAGACCCACACCAGCCACCATCCAAACTATCATCATGACAGCAGCATCAAATGGGATTTCTGTATTGATTTCCTATGAAGAGCTGCTGTGTCTGCCCACAGCACGACGTGACAGATAAATTAAAGCAGTCAACATCCCGTTTGTTTACTGGCAGCGCTGAAGTAGAACCTCCTCATAATGTTTCATTTGCTGTAGCATTAAGAGCTTGTTTGATAGCCTGCTTTAGAAGCTTAGCTTTTATTGACTTAAAATGATAGAGGCATCCACCCAGTCTCGTCTCTTCCTGATAAGTCCATATTTGCAGCTACTCTTCTGACCTTGTGACCATGAATTACTTGTGTACAGATATTGTGTACTAGAGTGGCCTCACACTGTGTTCTTCAGCTTGTTGTGCCTGTTACCTTTCAGAGTAATATGATGTTTCATTTGTGTTTTTGAGAAAGACCCCTTTCCCTGACCTGAAATGAGCCCTCTGTAGTTTGGAAAACAGTTGGGAGCAAAATTAGGAAATGCAACCTCTAAGTAACTCTGGTAGAGGGGGGAATTGAGAAGCTCTTTTGCTTAAAAGGCTCTTTGAGCCCTGTGGACTGGATGGCTTGTTGTACCTCCGACACTGATCGGTCTTTATGACTTTGGACAAGACTTGCCTCCACCCCCTTCTGTTTGAAGTGCACGGCTGTGTGGCAGACCGGGCAGACGGGAGAATGGGCTGGTGGTAGGGTATATACCCAGTCACACTCTCACTCTCAGCAGCTGAAAACCCGGAGCTCATTAGCCCGCAGTCCAAAGTATGCGACTTGCTGCCGTCTCTAAGTGTTTCATGTAACATCGTCGCATGAATTATTGAGGGCGCCTCTTTGCACGCCACGCTGCCCCTTGCCTCCCTGCTGCTGGCGCTCATGCAGGCAGTGCGCTGGAAGCATCCTGCCCAGAGCCCAGAGTCACAGTCTGGTAGACTGCGCCCCGTCTGCCAAGGAGGCTGGGCGTCTGGAGGCGACATTGATACATTGTCTCGGTTACTGGTTCTCCACTTACAGTACCTTCCACTCAGTACATCGTGTTTCTAGATTGATCTTGCCTTCACTTTTCCGGGGGGTCCCCGAGATACGCCGAGCTGTAAATACAGTGCAGGCTGTGGCTCTGTCGAGCTCTAGGAGCTTAGTTTTCAGCTTTTCAGTTCGGTTCAGCTGTGTGTTTATCTGCTTTGAGAAAAGGGTTCCTGAAGGACTGTTAAGCAGATTCATGCACAGAAAGCATCGAAACTCAGGCCAGGATTGCAGGATTGTCTTGTAGGATCACACCAGAAGCACAGTGGGGATTTCAGCGTTGCAGTTTAACACAGTAATCGACAAACAAGGACACGATAAAGTCGAGAGGGCTCTGCGTTTACCCTGTAGTCCAGGCTTCTTCGGTATTAAACTGATCAAGTCACCCAGCTCCTCTTCACCTCTTAATCCAGCTGACTTCACCTCACTAGGGTGACTTCTATGGCCAGTGCAGTCTGTGTCAGGAAGCCATCTGTGCTCCACACTGAAACCACGTGGGTCACATTTTCAATCTCACAGGGGTGTGTGAAGGAGGATTGTTTTCTTCACCAAAAGGTCACCTAAGGAGAACCTTTGTGGGTTGAACATCATGTAGCTTACCACTTAGTGCTGGCAGTTCCAGGGGAGTTAATCACAGAAAAGAACCAGCTGATGGGTTCTGTGGAAAGCACAACGTTTTTAATGGAGAGCCAGTGAGAGAGGACTCGGGGTCTGTTGAGGACAGCGCTCTCAGTAATGCCCAGAGATGAGGAACTGGTAGTACCTTTACGTAGTATTTACTCTTCCCTTCCTACATACACTGTATTGTAGGAGCTCAAACATCTTTCTCACTTTCACCGTGTATGCATTTGTATCAATGGCATAATTATGCCATGAGGGCATTATTAATAAGACATCATGCCCTTATGACTAATAATTATTATAAAATATTATAAGTCATGCCATAATTATTATGACATTATAATTAATTAAGCAAGCTCTTGAGCCATTTGTAGTAAGTAGACCAGCTCTAGGCACCATTGTCCTTATCAGAGCCTAGTCATAAGTGCTCTATTAATTTAAGATTAAGCTTTTTTGTTACTGGGATACACCGAGATTCCAGGTTTCCTACAAAAAACGGTTTTTAATTTCCATAAAAGGGAAATTTGTGGACCTGGCCATCATGCCATAACTTGAATCTGAGACATGCAATCCTCGAGGCTCTTCAAACAGCCCTCTACTGGAGTGGTTGTTTAGAGGCTACATTTCCTAATATTCTTCCTCCACTAGTTTACTACCTGCAGAGAGATGAGAGGACTCAGTTCAGGTCAGGCGAAAGGGCTGATATGACTTATGTTCTCTGTGATTAGTATTGTTAATGAACTCTCCTGTGTGACCAGGTTGGGCTTCTTGTTTCCCTGAAGAAACTGATGTGGTCTGTTAATTACTACAGATAGATAGGTACACACCGAGAGGATGAGAAAAATGTGCAAGGATTTTGTAGCAATCAGTGGACCTGGTGCCAAGTTAAGTGCCCAGGTGACAGTCAAGTTAAGGCACGACTTTGGTTACACGTGTTTGAAAGCCTTCAGTTCCCGAACTGAACTGGGGGTAGTTTATTCAGAAAGGTGTGTGAAAGAGGGGGACACACCTTATCTGTTTGTAACATCTTCATTCCTCTCTATTCTTAGGGGTCTGGCGAACTGAACGACAAGCTGTTCTTCAGACAGAAAGTGAACCTGCTCTCCCAGAATTCAGCTACCCCGACAGACTGTCTGTTTGAGGTCAGCCTGTGCATTCTTCCTACAGATGCTTTATTTTTAGTTTTATCATTAAATTTACTAGAAGAGCCTGATGGTGGGGGAGGAAGAATGAGCAACATGAAGAATATAAGGCTGGGGGGACTGGCGAATGTCATGTGTCTGTGTCTCCTTCAGCACATCGCCAACGGGAACGAGGCAGAGGTGAGGCGGCTGCTGAGCGAGGCCGAGAGTGAAGAGGAAGGCTTGGAGATGTGCCATCCCCTGTGCTCCTGTGAGCGCTGTGAGAGGCAGGCGTCAGGGTGAGGACAGTGTCACTCCTGTGAG